CTATAAAGTTTAGTCCAGGATAAAAGGTGAGTAATATATTTTGTGGGTAGATAAATGTACACTGATTTATAAATCTTGGATGCCCAAAATATTAAATACCCACAATTTATCAAGTCATTATATAGAATTTTATTAATTTCATTTCTTAGAAAGTGGATTATTATTTTCAATTTGCTCTACTTTCCTTAATATTTTAGTATTTAAGATATGAAATTTCAGTTACCTTAAAGGCAATTTTTAAATGACTACATACTAAAACAATCTTAAAAAATGACTATATACTGAATTCACGCTCAAATTCAATTGTCATATACACACATATATCCTTACAGCTTCTGTATCTTTGAGTACTAAATGGGATTTAAATGTTGCTAAAATTTGATAGTTTACATCATTGTGCTAAAATTGAAATGGAGTGTCCATGTTTTTCTTATTTTGATGTCTTACCTGTCCAATCTCATAAACTTGACTTGTGATTGTAAGGGAAAATGGTGATATAACGTAAAGAAATAGACAAAATTGGTTTATAAGAATCCTGAGTCTGGCAGAAACCCGGCTCTCTCCTCATTTTGTCTACTCTCAAACTTGCCAAGCCTTGTTCACTTTGGCTTTATTTTAAAAACGCATTTCTAGTGAGTGAGAAAAGGTTTTGTACTGTGTTTTCAATGACTCACCCAAAATAACTCCATTCAACTTGTAAAGGGTCCTGCTATGAATGCAGATTGTGTTTGTTCTGAGATGGGTATGAAGGAGCTGCAGAAGGGAGATTAGAGAAGGGAAATGTAGTGGGAGAGGCCAGTGGAGTTTGTATTTATTCAGGTTCAGGAACACACTAGAATTATTTTTAAAAAGGACATTTTGTGTGTGTGTGTGTTGTTTATGAGTTTGTACCATTTAACGTTTTTAAAAGAAAAATATATAATTGATAGAGGGTTCATCTATTCACCAATCTTTTTTCTGATACTCATATAATGTGGAAAGGGATATTTATAAGTAAATACTTATTCCAGATATGTGAATAGTGAAATGATTCATGATTTAAAAATTCTAAACACGTCTAAACAGGAAGCAATTATATACGTAAAACTGAAAATGAATCCTAAGTTAGGATGGAATGAGAATGTCACACAGTGATGACAGTATGAACTTCATAATTGGGAAAGGTAATAATGATATCCTCCTGTTGTCTGAGTGAATATTAGAAAAATATTTAGCATCAAATGGCATACAGTGAGCATTTACTATGATAGACGGGACTTTTAAAAACTTTTATGACTTAAATAAATGTAGAGATCTTTAAAAACACCATGTTAGGATTATACAAAAAGAAATAAAAAATTATACTCTTGAACATTAAAGATTCACAGATGAATTAAAAATGTATCAACTTTCCTATAAGACTAGTGTCCAGGTAAAAGAATTTAAAACCTTCATTCATTGAGTTGTTTCATAAACTGAAAACCTTATTCTATGACATAATCTTGTTTTACTCTATTACTGAGGAATAGATGGGCCATTCTTACCTGTTGCTCAGAAACACAAAGAACTGAGGCACTGAAAATAAAACAGTCTAAAAGGGTATACCAGGGAGATGGAAAATTTAGTATTGTGTGGAAAATTGTAATCTGAGTATGACAAAATAAGTGATAAAATGACAAGTCTCCAATATGAAAAAAGCCCAGAACATATACAAACTGGTAACTTACAGATTATAAAATAAAGTTATAGAGGTATTAACACCTGCTTCTTCACCTGTTGTGTAAAGGGGAATTCAAAGAAATTGAACAGAAGGTTCATGCTGTATTAATGCTTTCTATGAGGATAATAACTAATTTGATAATCCTTTAATTGTTATGGGGAAACTTTACCAATAATAAATTAAAATTTCAGACCTTAAATATGCAATTTTATTATTTCAAATAAACACAATGCCAGAATACTAAGAGTAGATGATTTATTAGACATATTTTAATGGTTGCTATTGATGTAAAAAAAGAGTATGCCCCCAAATCAATAGAATACAAAGTTTAATTGTATATACACACATACACATACATGCACACACACACACACACACACACACTTGTAAATCTTGATGACTTAGGCATATAACATCCATTGCAATTGGAAGAGGCCAGGATATGTAACATGCAATGTAGTCTAAACTTATTTTATGTAGAATTCTTTCCCTAGGTAATTTTACTGGAATAGCGAATTCAATTGAAATATAGTTCTGCTTATTTCATGTGGAATTCAACTGTTCTTATACTCCCAGCTCTCTTTTATCTTAATAAGGTTAAAATTTATAAATGGAAATTCTGCCATCTTATCAGATTATGAATTATAATTTTTGACACATGAAATAATTTTTTCACTGTCAAGATTTTAGGGAAGAAATAATATCAGAAACGAACCCCAAATACCTTAGTTTATCCAACAGTAAATCCTGTTTTGCAATTTTGAGGCATGTGTTGAAGTCTGTAAAAGCAAAACAATAACTGAAGTAATTCAAAATGTTTCACTTTTGATATAAACCTTACTCTTAAAATAGCTCAGTTAAGTACAGTAGGTTGTCAAGCCTAACTGTAAAAACTGAATTTATATCAGTAAAACAACAGCATGACATGTCGATAATACTTGCAGTATAAGAATATAGCATAACAGTAATAATAGAAAATATCTCATATGAAATTAACTTATTTTTATCTTCAGTAATATATAAGAATCTCAATAACTTTTATGAGCACCTACTTTATACCATTTGATTCTGATATCACTTTCAGAAGGTAATTAAGACCTCATAGATGAAGAAGAGGAAGTTCAGAAAAATTAACTTAGTCATGCAACAGAAAGTTTAGAATATAGGAAAAGAACTCAAATTTCATTTTGAAATCAAAGACCCTAAAGTTTGTATTATGCAGTACAGAATTATCTACACCTAACATAAATTTATTTTTCTAATTTGTATCAGTGAATCAGACATTATTGTGCAATGTGAATTTGCTTTGTTTAGGGAAAAAATTCTTTAAGAACCAAACAGCTAGGTTTTCTTCTTATGTAGAGTATGGCATTCAAGAATTTCCCTCTCTAGTTCTTTACTCTCAAGTCTGTGCATTAAAAATGATAATGTAAAAGAAATCATATGACTATGCTATTATAGATTTAACAGTTGCTATACTCTATTCTAATGTTATTGCTGTTATTCCCTCTCCCCTCTATATTTTGTTCTTCCAGTTTGGTATTTTTTTTATTTTTGACTCTGATAGTTTGATAGTTTTAAACTTTTAAATATAAAATATAGTTCATTATTTCCTTTCTCAAAAAATGTTTAAGTGAATCTAAACAGCAACTTAAATAAAATATAAAAGACCTTAAAGAGATTCGAAGCAAATATTTTGACTAAGCAATACAAAGAACCTAAACAACAGGAAATTTGCTTCAAGAAAACTCTTGTTTTTTATAGGATTGGTACTGTAATGGGGCTGGAGAGGTAAGATAGTGGGTAGAGCACTTGCCCTGCACTCAGCTGACCTGGGTTCTATCCCCAGCATCCTAGATGGTCCCTCAAGCATCGCCAGGAGTAACTCCTTAGTGCAGTGCCAGGAGTTACCACTGAGCATCACAGGGTGTGGCCCCAAACAAAAAAAACCAAAACAAAGAAGGAAGGAAAGAAAGAAGGAAGAAAGGATGATAGGAAGGGAGGGAGGGAGGGAGGCAGGGTGGAAAGAAAAAAAGAAAGAAAAGAAAGGAAAAGAAAAGGAAAGAAAGTAAAGGGAAATAGGGTCTGTAGGAAAATAATATTAATAAATGCTCCTTTATTGTTCTCAAGAGTCACTCTTGGTAGCTCTTGGGAACACTGGATGCAATGCCTGACTCGAAGACTCTAAATTTGGTCCCTGTGTACAAGGCAAGCACCATAACCCCTGTACTATCTCTCTACCCTTGGAATTATTCTTTGCTATTCACAATTTACAGTCTGGGCTGGGATGAGAAATATATCCAGATACCACTTATATCATTTACTAAACAATTCAATACCTAAATAAAATATTATTTAAGCTGAGTTATCTGAAATTATGGGAAAGATATAACCAGAAAAGATGATGGGATAGTGTGTTCTAGGAAAAGTACTGGTTCAGTTAGATCGTGGAGATCATAAAAGCACTGGATGGAAAAAAACAAGAATGAGTGGCAAGATATAGGGAGACAGCAACAGAACCTAGAAAGGATAGAATTGCATCTGGGAAGAGCAGATTGTTAGGAAGGGATGTGGCAGGGCCCTGCTGAACTGTGAAGATTTGTTCTCCATGAGATCAGTGTCTTAGTCCTTCTAGCTGGCCTTTCCAACAGGGAGTTAGACACTGGCCTACATTTTTAGGACCATTAAACAGCTACATTTTGCCATAGGATTCCAGAAGGATGAAATTTCTTTAAGATTCAGAGTAAAATGTTAAGCCAACAAAGATTTGGTGTTTCTGTTCTAGCTCCGTTTACAATTTACAGCATCTATGACCCAGAATATTATTTCAACAGCTAGGAAAAAAACAGGATTAAGCTATGACTTTGCAGCTATTGGTAAATGTTAGAGTCCGAATAGGAGATGATCCTCTTTCTGCTGATGAGACTTTTAAAACCTAACAAGAGGAAGCTCAACTTCAATTTTAAAATAGTTCTGAACCCTGATCATCTGCTTTTTTGGAGCATCTTGTAATACCCAAATCCAAGCCAAATATTTCTACACTTTCTCAGCTACTTCTTTCTGGATTTTCCTATGCCAATATATCCAACTTAAATTTAGAAGTCAGATTAAGTCCGTTTCCCCCAAATTCATTTGCATAGAAAACACAGCCGCAATAAATAACTTCCTTAAGCACTAAGATCCCTGCAAGAATTTCATCTTCAGGTTTTTTTTCCTTTTCTTTTTGGACAAGCAATCACCATCTCTCTTTCCGCATCTTTCTGTCCACCGTCCTTTGGGACGCTAACCCTCCCACTTGCAGGAAGACCCGCTCCCAGCTTCGGAAAGTCAGCCCAAGCCGCCCACCCACCCGTCGGGAAGCCGGGGAGCGCACTCGAGTGAGTCTCAGCCCTGGCGCTCGGTTTCTAATTTCTGAGTGGGGGAGACGCGGAGAGGAAGACCACGGCACTAAGGAACAAGCAAACAAACCCGGTCCAGTCCAGGCGCTCCGGCGGGAGGCGGGGTCAGCGCGCCCCGCCCCGCCCCGCCTGGCCCCGCCCCGCCTGGCCCCGCCCCGCCTGGCCCCGCCCCGCGGCCCCGGCCGGAAGGGGGCGTGTCCGCTGGCCCCGGGAGCGGCGCGCAGACGCAGGGCTGCGGGCCGGGGCTCGGGCGCGTCGGGGGGAGGCGGGGAGGGCGGGGTGGGCGGAGGCGGGGGGCGCTCGTCTCGCGGCCGCTCGAGCTCGGGCCACTAGCGCTCCCGCGCTGCGCCCGGCCGGCTACATGTGAGGCTCAGACCCCCGCCCCCTCCCTCCCCTGTCTTCCCTCCCTCCCTCTCCCGTCCCCTCCTCCTCCTCCCTGTCCTCCTCCTTCTCCTCCTCCTCCTCGCGCGCCCGCGCCGGCTCCCGCTGCCCGGGGCCCCCAGCCCGGCCGGGCGCTGACCGCAGGGGTGGGGGTCCCCGCTCCCCGCTCGCCGCCGCCGCGGCCGCCGCGTCTCGCGCAGGCTTGGGGCTGCGGGCAGCGGAGTCCCCGGCGTGGCCATGGACCGGCCCCTGTCGACCTCGGCGGAGGCGGAGGAGGAACTGGAGTGGCAAGTGGCGAGTCGCCGGAGGAAGGCCTGGGCCCAGAGCCGCGGCTCCTGGCAGGCGTCGGAGGCCGAGGACCTGTCCACTGAAGCGACGACGCAGGACGAGGACGACGACGACGACGACGACGCCGGCGACGACCGCGAGGACCTCCCCGACGCCAAGCTGCCGGCGGCCGCCGACCCAGGTCGGCGCGCCCGGGGGTCCGCGACGGGCGGGCTGGGCAGCGGCGCGCGCGGACCTGGGCACGCGCCGCGCGCGCGCTCCGGCCGGGCCCCGGGCCGAGGGGGCGCTTCCGACCTTTGAATTGCGCGCTTGCTTGGCAGCGCCAGCCTGGGCGCTCCGGTGCCACCTCGGCTCCCGGCCGAGGAACACCCGGACCTGCCGCACGGGCTGTCCTGGGCCCCCAGTGGGATCTTCTCCCCGGCGGAGCCCGGGCGCACCCAACAGCAGCGCTCCCCAGGCTCGCTGACGCCCTGTCCCCCTTGCCTTTGCCCCGCAGGAAACGTGCCCAACGAGAAGATCGCCACATGGCTCAAGGACTGCCGGTGAGTCCCCTCGCTGGGGGCCGGTGGGACAGCCACGCAGAGGGGGGACGCTGGAGCAGAGTGTCCCGGGCCGCGGTGCCCCCGGGGTCCCCCGCGGTTGGAAGCCCGAGACCGGAAAGTGAATCCCGGTGGGTGCCTAGCGTCCTTCTTGCAGCGATTCGCAGTGCAAGTAGTGACCACCGGTTATTTGGGGACCCTGGTGACTTGACAGTTGCGAGGACTCCAGATCAGCTGCAGGATGCTGGCACCCGAGGGTCCGAGCCTGGAGCAGAATCGTGCCCTGTTAGGACGCGTGCCTTGTTTTCGTTCCGAAGGTTTTGCCCATCTGTCAGAATAACTCGATTTTGCTTTGGGTTTTAACAGCTGTGCGTCTGGTGTCTGATCATTTTCCTCTCCGATGGGCTTTAGAGCAGTTGAATTACTTTTACTAACGGACTTTTAGTTTCATGCCTGTGCCTTTAATTGGAGAACTGTTGAAAGTAGCTAACTCTGTCCCTGTAGTTTACTTCTCGGGACTTTTATTTGTCAGATGGCACTGGAATTCACTGACGGGAATAGAACTTTAGAGGTATTCAGACTACATAAATTTGATTAATTACCTCCTTTGGCAACTGTTACAAAAATGTTTGACAAAATACAGAGGCAGTGAATCATATTACAATTAGATCTTAATACAGTAAAAGGTTCTTTGAAAAAATTTCTACGGAGAACGTTGCTTTTTAACTTTTGTTAGGGTGCTTCTGCACATTTTTTTTTCCTTCTCATTTTAGGCTTTTCTTAATTATATGATCACTGCTCAGGGTTCAGAATTCTTTTCTTTTTTATAGGGAGCAGGTGACGATGATTCTCAATATATGCTAGTTTATATTGCCTCCTTTAAAAACAAAATGTTGGTCACCTCTCTTGATGTCCTGTTTTAATGAACTTTACTGAACATGCTTCACTACACAGCCCTTAACCTTTTGGAGGTGGGGAGCAGTCAGAAAGACTTCTAAGACTTGACAAAACGTGTAGAACTTGCCTCTAAGAAGTCGAAAAGGTTACACTTGAGAAGTCCTTGAACCCCAGATTAACCCTTTAGTTAATGCAATTAATTGCTGCTTTTTCTAATTAGGAAACGATGGTCTTTGTTCTTGGGTGATTCCACCAAGAACCAAGTTTTAGAAATTACAATGGTTTATCCAAAAATAAAATTACGATGGTGTGCAACTTCTTTAACTATTAGGCACCAAAATAGGTGTAAAGGTTAATGGCTGTTTTATTTTATTTTGGTTTCTGGGTGTCACTGGACAGTTCTCGGGACTTACTCCTGGCTCTGTGCTTCGGGAATCACTTCTGGTAGATTTGGGAGGGACCATGTGGGGTGCCAGGGATCAAGCCTGGATTGGCCTCATGAAAGGCAAGCACCCTATCTTAACTACTATCTCTGATTAATGGAAATTTTAAATAAGCATATTTAGAACCTTCTGGAGAGCTTATGTGAAATCAGTTGTCTTTTATGTTTTCTTTTAGAAATGGGTCTGAAGAGGATTTTGTTACTTTTACCCAGGTCTTCATTTTGGGGTGTAGGGAGATGGTAGGGAGCCACGCCCATTAATGCTGAGGAGTACTACACCCTGCTTTGTGCTTTGGGGCGGGGGTGGAGGGGTTGGGGTGGTGAGGGATGGCCTGCTTGGTAGGTAGGTGGCCCAAGGTGGAGCTGGGTATCAAACTTAGACCTCCTGTTGGCAAAGAATATGCTCAGTTCATTGAACTCTCTCTTCTGCTCTATCTAGGTCTTTTAAAATGTTGTCTTGCTCTTGATTTAAACGTAGTATTAAGTAGAATATTTGCTTACTCTTAGAATCCTCAGAAAGTTCTAGCATTCAGAGCAGATTTGTAGTATATTATTGTCTAAATCCAAGTGTGTGTGTTGATGAATTAAAAGATGTTCAAGAGAATGGAGACGCACATGTTTTATGATGTATAAGAGTGAAGATTATGTAAAACAAATTAAGGAAAGGATTTTTTTGCTTCTGTCCACGTTTAAGACAAGTTTAAGAGGTAAATGAATGTTAGCGTTTTCCAGAGACACATACATAAAAATTCTTGGTTGCTAATCTTGGTTCATGTAGGCGTAGTCTGTGCTCTGTTGCTCCTTCCTTCATAAGTTTCCTCCCTTTTCCCTGCACTTGGACCTATGCTGCACAAAGGGCTATTCATTAGTACCAGGGAATGCTAGAACAAATAGTCTTGAATGTTGACGGTAGTATCACATATTTGACTGCCAGGATTGATACATCTGTATTTTGTGTAACAATTTAGGTTACTTCCAGATTTGGGTATCTATTATTTTCCTTTATTTTGTGCAAATGATCTGATACAGTGCTTCTGACCTCATAAGTTCTAAAATATTCTTTGTTTTCTTATAGCTGTCAATATCCTGAAAAAAAAATACCCTGTTGTCTTTTCTCAAAGGGAGTTTTAGTTTTGATAATGAGGTGTTTTATTTTTTTCTAAATAGAAAACAAATATGAGTTAGCATTTTAAGAAGAGGTAGTTTTGATAGAATTTGTAAGAGACCTGTTATGAGAAACTTGTTTTTAATGGCGTGTACCAGTTCCATTCTACTTTGTTATTTTTATTTTTTTGTTAGTACACAGAGACATATGTGAAAGGAATAATGCATTGCTAATACGGTGTTTTATCCTAAAAAGATAGCCACCAAGGAAGAAAAAAATTTTTTCTTCAAAGAATTAGAGTTTTTACAGAAATTTAGGTTAGTGGTTTTATTAACATCTCTACGGGTAATTACTCATGATTGTTCTGAACTTCAAAAATACTAATTTTTGGAGAATTCCCATTCATTCCTATATTTACTTGTAGACAATTTGAATACTTAAGCAATATTCAGCAATTTTTTTAATAACAAAATGTTTGTATCAAAAAATAGAATTTTTGAAGTAAGACATTGTAGTACACTTAGGAAAAAATGAAAAAAAGTTTTATATTTTATATTTTAAAATATTATATGTGGGAAGCGTCAAAAAAAGAATTTTATCAAGGGTTGATTCTTTAATTGGTTCTAGAACTGATTTTTTAAGTAAAATTCTTACAGAGTAGGAGATATATTTTCAGTTTAAAAGATAGAGTAGGATATATATTTTCGTTTTAAAAGAATAAAATCTCAGGCTTTTCATTTACATATAAGAAGTGCTGTAGTTAGGATTCAGAGGCACTTAAGTGGTACTTTGGAATGCTAGTGATAGGTTTTACAAGTCAGGTTTAATTTTTGAGCCTTATTTGTATTAGACACTGACTGAAAGTTCATCAAGATAAAGATTAGTGTAATTTTATTCACTCTTTTCAGGGAAGGGATTGAAGGGAGCAGTTCCTTAATGCCACTTTCATCGTTGATATGTGTGCGTAGAAAGAATCATTTTCTATTGCCATTCTTGGTCCTGTTTGCTGGAGAGCAGAATTGTGATTCTGTCATTCCTGGTGGACTGCTTGGACGATAGGTATTTGCTTAGTTAGTAGGATACCACTTATGTAATCCACTTGCATTCCTTGTGTGTTTTGGGAGAAGAGTTAAACTATGATTAGAAGCTTGCTGAGCTGCAACTCTTTAAATGGAAGGCTGTGAAGTGACAATGCTCCAGACAGCTTTTCACGACTAAAGTATATATGTTTGTGTGGTTTCAGTACGCCTTTGGGAGCCTCGCTGGATGAGCAAAGCGGTAGTACTCTCAAGGGTAAGAGAAAGTTGGCTTTCTAAGTCTGTCCTTTATGACGGCCCTTAAAAATAAATGTGTATGTGTTTAAGTATAAAGAGATTTTCATATTTATAAAATGCGCTGTTCTGAGCTGGAAGCTAAAAAGAAGAACCTCATAAACAGGGCTAAGTTTCAGTGAATCAGCAAACCTTTTCCAATGGGACATTTGTTTCTATCAACCGATCAGATATTATAAGGACTGATTTCTAGAAATATGTATACATAAGGCATATATACATTGAGCAAACTAGGTCAAGTTTCGTGTGGCATTTCTCTGCTTACATTCACTGAAATCGCCACACCTGAAGTTTTGCCACCTGTGCGAGACAGAATTCTAAAGTTCAAAGTACAACAAGAATGTGCAGGTAGAGGCAAGGCATATAAAAAAATATTTGCTGTATCTGGAAAATCTCGTTTGTGTGCCTCACATAATAGGAGGGGGTAGAAGTAATCACCACTGCTCCAGGGTTCTGTTTTCCGTGAAATTCTGTTAAAGGGATGTTTTGTAAAATAATATTTTCAGAGGCAGAGGAAGTATGAAAGAGCCTGTAGGTTGATTCCTAACACTTTTAGCTGGTTCCAAACCATGGATGCTTTTTTTTTCCTTTCGTATCAAAATAAAAGCATATACTTCTTAAAATTAAATAATCAGAATAACATACTGATAAAAAAGATTTCTTCAATACTGTAAAAAGCATTTTGTTTGGTCAAATTGTTTCCACGAAAGCAGTGATTTTATATGGGGAATCAGGAAGAACAGAACACTTACAAGATGAATCTTGAATGTTTCTTTCAGGTGTACTTCTGAGAAATGGAGGAAGCTTTGAAGATGATTTATTATTGGGTGCTGAAGGTATGTTTTGTTTTAAATAGCAGCATTTTTATGAAGTTACACAGTTAAAAAATCAATATGTGGAGTAGTTTCAGGTTATAAGGTCCTCAGAGCTAAATTTTAAAGGTCTCGGAGAATGGCTCCACACTTTTTGGAGAACCTTTCATATGTTAATGATCTAGTTAGATAGCCTATTGGATATATGTAGGAATTGCTCTGAAAAACCATTGTGAAATGTTCCTATGTCTGTGTTAGACTGAATTGCTTAAAGGAACTGTTTGAGGGCAAACAGTGGTGATAAAGCTGCGGGAAGAATTGTCCTGCAGAAGGAAGGAAGCTTAAATATTTATACACGAGAAAACTAAATTGAAGCTTATTTTTAGTGTGAGGTAGCCTTATGGCAGACTCACAGCTGCAACTTATCTTTCTCTTTGCATTTAAGTGTTTTCTGTCTTTTTCCTTCTTCCTCTTTTACTAGATTCTCATAAGACTAAGACAAAATAGCAAAGTTACTGGAATTTAATTAGATATTATGCTGCGGTGTATTTCATTATTATTGCATTAGCATTCTAAGAATATATTGTGCTGTTTAAGTTTTCATAGTTATATAATCTTTTAATATGGATCTAGAAAGCTTTATGCAATATAAAAACAAGCAGTATTTAATCGGTATTTTAAATATTAAGTCTTGAGATTATAGGGCAGTTTATCCACTGATTAGATCATTGATCTTTTGTTGTTTAAATTTTTATGACAGATTACTTAGAACTTAATAATGTTGAAAACTCTAGAATAGAGTGTTTATAATAGTTTATAATAGTTCATAATAGTGTTGTGTTTATAATAGTTCATATTATTTCTGTTCATGTGAGCTTTTCTGAAATAAAGTTTGTAAAGAGTTTAAATTTATTGCTACCCAATCACTAAGTTCAGGATGTCAGGTAATTTTTTAAATGCACCGGGGCTGGAGCCATAGCACAGTAGGTAGGGCGTTTGCCTTGCACGTGCCTGACGTGGGTTCGATTCCCAGCATCCCATGTGGTTCCCTGAGCACTGCCAGGAGTGAGTGATTCCTGAGAGCAAAGCCAGGAGTAACCCCTGTGTATCGCTGGATGTGACCCAAAAAGCAAAAACAAATAAACAAATAAATGCACCTCAATTAGTATAAATAGCACTTTTGGTATCTGCCTTAGTAGTTTCATAACACTGAATTGTTTTAGACTTTTTTAATAACAGATTTGGGGCCACAGAAAAGTTGGAGGAAAAATATAGAGATTTCACATATTTTGTCTGCAGTTGTATATGCGAAGCCTCTTCCATTATCAATAGTTAACTAGAGTATGTCATGAGTTAAAACTGATGAACTTACGTTAAGGCATCATAAACACCCAAATTCATCATTGATCTATTTTTTATTCTTGAACTTATATTTTCTCTTGGTTTTGAGAAATATAACGTCCCTCATGATATAGCATGTTTAAACTGCTCTGTACTTGTTCATTTATATTAACATTATTAAAGTCTGTTCATTCACATTAAATAGTCTTTTGCTAATCAGAACCTAAAATGGAATCTTGTAGGAAGCAGAACTATTACATTGTTTCACTGAAAATTATCAATTTGTTAATATTTTCTTTGAGTCAAAAATCTGTTGAGTACAATATATTAGATTATAAGTAAAACAATCTGGTAGGCTGAAATAAATGTTTTTTGTCTGAAAGATTAACTCTAGTAAAATATAAACAATAACAGCATTGGCAATATTGATCTAGAACTTGTTAACTCAGGATAAAATTGAAAGGCAATTTTAAAGAGAAAGTTTATAATGAGTAGAAATTTTCAGAATACATTTATGAAAAAAGAAAGTGATGCTTAAATTATTTTTATACTTGAGTAATGCCAAAATTATGTTTCACTTTAAAAAATTTTTAGAGCAGCTTTTAAATTTAATAATAAAACTGTATATATTACTTATGATGTGCCTAACTTCCTACTGCATATTTTTAAGAAGTTGGAAACATTTAATTGGATTTTTTTGTTTTTTTTTAATTTCAACTACTTGGGTGGAGTAACTAGTTAAATCTTGCACACAAAGAAAAACACTCTCCAAAACCAATTGGTTTTGTTCCTATCGATTTGTATGTAGAGCATTACTTTTAACTATGCAGATTTAATGAGCCAAGATTAGAGCGTAGCATATTAAGCAATTAGCTATAGAATACTGTGACTAATTTTCTTCTTAATGATTGTATCATAGTGATTACTGTCCTACTAACAGTTGTGATCTGCATTTATTCTTCTTACTTGTAGCCAACCAACTCCATGAATCTGATGTTCGAATTGAAAACTGGTACGTAGCTCTGTTTGTTCTCTTCTTTTTAAAAAATGTACATACATGACGATACGATTCTATATAAACCAATTTTCTTTACAGCAGTAATATTTTGGCCAAAGAAAGAAGATTACAGTTTCATCAGAAAGGGAGAAGTATGAATTCCACTGGATCTGGGAAAAGTAGTGGGACAGTCTCGAGGTAACTTATTTTGAAATTATGGTGCAATTACTTTGTGTTTTGGTTGATCTACTCAGGTCACTTTTTCAGTCTTGGATTTGACTTGGTTGTATAAAGTCAGAGGAATCCTGTTTCATGAAGCTTGTTAAAAAGAGAATAAGATGGGAAGTAACAAATATTTTATAATGTTGTTGGAGTACATTAATGAGTATTTTGAACACTGTCAACAACTTGAAAAAGTAACTTCATGGTAGTCAATTTTGCTTTTAAAATTCTCTATTCTTTTAGAGTTACTGTGACATAGAAATAAACATTTTTAGTTTAAAGCTTGATATTTAACAATAGATTTATTTTAACATTAAGATCTTTATTAAAATAAGCAAATGCTTGTACCTATGGATCCAATTTAAATTATGATCCAAATTGTTATGTTGGATCTGATCACATTCTCTGAAACAGTCAACATTTATCTTTATCCATGTTCCATCTCTAGCATTCTCATTTTTCTCAGTTTGTCTTAGGAAGCAAGGATTATCGCTTGTATAAGGGAGGGTAGTGAATGTTTAATTCTCAATATTATTAGAGCAAGATTTTGCCTTTGTCTGACATGCTTACCTCACTCATACTTCTTGAGTGGAGTTTAGAAAGGATCTAGTAAAAAGTAAGCTCCTCTGTCACTTGACTGAGAATAGTTTGGTTATACCTTTTTTCCTTCTTCTAGGTTAGTCAAAGAGAACAGAAAAGTTCAGGTTCTACAGAATACGCCTTAGTACCAAAGTTCTTACAACTTCCTAGTGTATTTTCTTCTTTAATTTGTTTATTGAGTACTTCTTTGGGAGTCTCTTAAAATGACAAAAAAAATGAGGTGAGGAGTGAGAAATTTTATTGAGTATGTTCTTAGGAGTTAATTCTTTACCCAATATACACAGATTGAGGGAAGTGGATTCTTTTTTTTAAGGATTGTGTATCACATTTTTATAATGTATAAAGATGCTGAAGATACAGAAAAAAGTAGAAAGTTTATTGGAAAGTGTAAGAGAAAGAATAAGGAACTCCCCATGTAGGGAGGAATTTAGAATAGGACTAAGTTCAAGAAAAAAAAGATTTTATCACAGGAAAGTAAGAATATGAGTTTATGTTGAGATAAGGCACTATAAAGATTCTATGTCTTGATTTTTTTCCCTCCCTTTTTGTTGTAGTGTTTCAGAATTGTTGGAACTTTATGAGGAAGATCCTGAAGAAATTCTTTATAATCTTGGATTTGGACGAGATGAACCAGATATTGCTTCTAAAATTCCTTCCAGATTTTTTAATTCATCATCATTTGCCAGAGGGATAGATATTAAAGTATTTTTAAGTGCTCAAATGCAACGGATGGAAGTAGAAAATCCAAATTACGCTTTAACAAGTAAGAGTGTTTAATATTAGCATATTATTTTTATAATAATAACTAAATCAACATGGTCTCACTTTAATTTCTAGAACTAGTATTGGAAATTTAACTGTTGAGACTAATACAAAAGCATTTATTCTGAATTTTTTACTCTGTAGAAGTTGTATACATTTTTTCCTCCACAGTTCTTGGCTTTAAGTGTTATCATTGATCATTGTGCACTTGTAGAACCTTGTGCTTTTTCAGCTTGCTCTTGCTCAAGAAGAAAAGGATTGTTAGGATTAAATGAAATCATTCAATTTTGGTGCTTTTCTATAAATCCAAAATAGATGAATACTGTGCCTCATTTTATATCTTTAGTTATTTCTTACTATTGAACAGAAGTTTTAAAATGGGATCATTAGTTTTAAGAGATCCATGTATATAACCCTCAACCCCTCTCAATTAGGTTATAAATATATATATATATGCATACACACACACACACACGCACTTATGTATACTTTATTAGAATAATACCTCTACCTAGGAGTCTTTGGAAAAGTCTTTAGAATCTAAGACCTAAACTCACAGATCAGTCGCTTGTGCTTTTTTTATTCAGTATGATCACTATGCTTTGTCCTTTCGGTTTTTTTTTTTTTTAAATATGTAAAGTCTCTTGATTAGAGTGAAAAATCTTCTCTTCTGGAGAAAAGTTTTAAGTTAGATATAAGGAAATATCTGATTTCAGATATAAGGAAAATATCTGATTTCAGAATTTTATTATTATTCTTAATAGTAATGGTCAAATAAATGTGTTTATATATTATTTTATAATAATGGTTAAATATGTTTATGCATAAATACACATACTTTTTTTTTTTGTTAGGTCGTTTTCGTCAAATTGAAGTGCTTACTACTGTGGCCAATGCTTTCTCTTCTTTATATTCCCAAGTCTCTGGGACTCCTTTGCAGAGAATTGGAAGTGTGTCCTCAGTGGCCTCTACTAAGGAGACAGAGTCTCCTCCACCTTTAACCCGAAGTAACACTGCAAATCGTTTAATGAAAACACTATCAAAACTAAATTTATGTGTTGATAAAGCAGAGAAAGGAGATGCTAGTAGTCCTTCCCCAACAATTGATAAAGGAAAGATTCCGAATGTGTCAGTGATTGAAGAGAGTGGCAATAAAAGTGATCCAAAGGCTCAAAAAATTATGAAGAAGAAAGATTCATCTCCTATGTTGGCTACAGTTACCGAAGAAGTATCAGGAAGTTCAGCATCTGTGATGGAGAGTGCTGACATTGATAGAGTTTTTGATGAAACAAATAGTCATTTAAATCAAGAAATGGAAAGTGAACAAAATAAAGACACTCAAAGTCATGAAAATAAACTGGGGGAGGAATCTGGTATTATAGAATCCGATATAGGTAGAGTTTTCAGCATATCCAGCCACCCTGAGCTAGGAAATAGCAGTGAGTTGAAAAATGTATCCACTCTTGAAAAAGAACCTTGTGTACCACTGGCGATCCCATCCATAAGAAATATAATGGCACAGCAGAAGGACTCCTTTGAAATGGAAGAGGTAGGTAAAAACATTTCTGACCACTGTTATAAATAATGAGTTGGGAAAATGTTGCTAAAAGTGTTTATGAAAAAGAAAAGCAACTAATACATTTGTATTAGGAAAGGTCATGGTGGTATTGACCTGTCAAGATTTTTTTGTTTTGTACTTCATAAACTAAAAAGTGATCACAGGACTGTGTGATGCCAGGTATCTATGTCAGTTTATCAGCTCCTGTAAATTCTGTCTATGGCTAGTACTTAAACTTTACCCACCTTTCATTGTCATGGTAGGGTTTTGATGCTCTGAGAAAACCCTGAGAGAGCATATTCAAATTCAGAATAATATTACTTAATACTTAAAAACACAGACTCTGAAATCAAATAGATTTAATATTCTAGCTCTACTCCTGCATTGCTGTGTTACCTCTTTGTAGTATTACTAAAGAGTTGTAGCTATAAATGATATAATGGGCATTTTTTTTTAAGTTTGTTACAGTATAGTATTTTGCAGTAGTTTCAGATTCACATGCCATTATTGTAGGGAATTGGAAAACAGTTTTTTTTATATTTTTAATTATATCAGTGAATAAATGTTTTTAGTTTATTGCAAAGTTTGATTGATAGTATGACTTAAAATTTTTAATTTTAAAAGGTGGGTAAAAGTAGAGCAAAAGCAGTCTTTTGAAGGATTTTGTATCCTTTTTAAGCTTAATTTTTCTTTATGTTTAATTTTTAGTATAATTTATATCATAATGAATCAAAATATTTTGATGATCACTAAACTTATTTTGTTTTGTTTCACTGTTTCATTTTTTTAACTTTGTTTTGGTCTAAATATTTCCTATTTTTCATAATTAAGGTATAGGTCCTTGCCTTTCATTATGGTCTCTCTCTAATTCCACTAACATACAACAGTCAGTTTTTCTTTTTGGAGAGGGAGAAAGGTATGCATGCACAGCCAGATGTGCTCAGGGCTTACTCCTGACTTGGTGCTCAAGGGACAGTATGGATTGAACCCCAGTTGGCCACATATAAGTCAAGCACCTATCCCCTGTACTTTATCTCTCTGGCCCCCAGTTTCCTTATTCTTATTTTTGGGCAACACAGGCCAGTGCTGGAGTGGGAGAGAGGCTAATCCTGGCTCAGAACTCGAAGGAAGACTTACCTTGTGGTGTCAGGATTGAACTTGGGGGTCCCAAATGAAAATCATGCACTCCAGACCTTTGAGGGGCCTCTCTGATTATAGTTTACTTATTTGATACTTTATATTTTTACATGCTGCTTTTAATTGCTAGAATTCTTGAACTGTAAGCAAAAATGTTGATACCACACCCAAAACATCTTTATACATTTATACAGTGCTGTATAGAAATCCTCTGGCATCTTGATAACCTTTAATAATAAAACTATTTCTTTTTTTTTCTTTTGCTCCCTCTGCCGGCAAAAGTCAGTATTAAAGAAAGTAATGTGGTACTGAAGCATTGAAGTGAACTTTTTTTCCCCCAACTGCAAAATTACTTGTTTATTAGGTGGTTGAAGAATAGTAGAAGCTTTTTGTTTTTAAAAGGATTATATAGCCAGCCAAAGATTCAGTAAATCTAAGGCATTTTAAGTATAGTAAATGCTTATTCTTCAGATATACTTAAAATATGGATATAAACCATATTTGTATGGTGTTTTTATTCTTTTGGGAACTTGAAAGAGAACATGTGGAACAATGGATAAAGAAGGGAAATCGTGTGTTTCTTTAATTTCCTCTTTGCCCAAGCATGATTTGAATCATACTGACATATGAAGAGAACAATCTTATTGGAGCAAACTTTTAGATTGTTGCTCTTTCTCTTTGGACTCCTCTCCCTTGAGGTTTTATTCCTGCTGGGACCTTCCTGTAAAAACAGCAAATAAATACGATTGTGTTCACACACTCAGTGAGCCAGTTCTTAAATAGGTGAACTGTTTGCCAGCTGCTTTGGGTAACTAGTCAGGGAAAGTGTTGCAGAGGTGACTTTGTGGATGATGCTGCTCAATCTCTCTGAGGCAGGAGGTAAGATTTGACAGTTATCAAGAGCATGGTGGGAGAACATTGAAGTAAATTGAGAGCTAATCAAATGACAGAAGTGTTCTAGATCTTGGAAAATAAGAGTGATTATCCCCTTTATGTGTATGTATATGTGTGTGTGTGTGTGTGTGTGTGTGTGTGTATATCTGTGTGTGTATGTGTGTGTGTGATGTCTTTTTATTTCTAAGACCAACAAATCTTTTTAGTTTAAAGTTTAAGGGGTCTAGGAGCAGTGGTTGAGGGACGTTGACACTTGGGTGATGGATGTGGTGCGGTAGCATTGTATGCTGAAAGCATAAATTATGAACACTAAACCATATATCTCAATTGTTTTTAAAGTTTGTTTTATAAAAGTGTAGGTTATTTGAATGGTTCTAAGTGTTGAAAAAAACCCTGTACTTGAGTTTTCTAATTCTTCATGACTTACCTGGATGATTTTAAGTTTCTTTAAAGTTTTATTTTGAATATGTATGTTGTGGTAAATCTCTGGATTCATAGATTGGTTGTATGAATGATTCACTTTAGATCAAAATGTGTTTCCATAAGTAAGCAGTTACCAATCTCTTTGGTTTGGGAAAATATTTTGCATACTTAATACTCAAAGAACTTCTGTGTATATAGTCTGTTCTATGTCTTCTCATTCAGAGTTTATACTCTGTTACAGATATTGATGTGTACCTTATTTTTTAAAACTACTGATCTTTTGAGTAACTTTCTAATCCTATTTTCATAATGGTTGTTGATACAGCTAACATAACTTGTGCTTTTTAGCTATTAAGTTCCAGGATTATTTTATATTTATTGACCGGAGTGAAAATAATCCCAAATATTTCACAGTTTAGTGGTTACTTTAACCTTTCAAATTTAATTATATACTTTTTGAAGTTAGCAGATATTTTGTCTATAGTAGAATATGAACTCTGATGTCACTAGGCACAGACCCAGTTAACTACTGTTTTGTTATTTGGTATTAATTGAAAGGTCTTTTAAGTTCACCTTTAAAGAAAATTACTTGACATTAAAAATAAGCCATCTGTATATGTGTGTGAGAAAGGGAGAGAATTTAAATTTGAGTTTTTCTAACACTGAAAATTTGTAATTATATTGACAGGATCATAAACTAGCACAGAAAATGATCTTGGAATTCGTTTTCAGTTTTCTCCCTTTAGAATAAGGACTCTCCATACCTATCCAGTCTTTCTGAGGACTTTATGTATTTTTTGTTAAAGTGCCTCATTGCGGGAGAGGGACAAGGGAATTTCAACATAGTCGGTGATGTTAGTAAAGGGAGTTTAGGATGGCGGTGGAAAAAATGTACAATAAATATCACTGTACTATTTTCAGATACTTAAAATCACATTTTATCTCTTCCTAAAGACCTGAGAGGTAGTACTTTGAATCTTGAACCTGCAGTTTAGAAAATGGATTATTACAGATAATGCAGATAGTTATCTAATGCCTTTAGACTAGTAAGTTGCATGAATAAGACTTGTAATGAGGTTTTTATACAAGCCTCTTTTTATTTGTTGTTTTGACTTTTTTTTTTTAATCCAGCTGTGCTTGCGCATTGTTATTGACTTGGTGTTTAGGGCTTGCTCTGGGTTTTGGTAGGAATTGAACTCAGGACTTCATATGTACAAGGCAAGTGCTCTACCATGAGCCACATTTCTGATCCAAACCTAATTTTGACTACACTGCCAAATTGACTATAATTGTTAAAAGTCAGACTGGTTGATAGGGTCATACATTGAACAAGAGTACAAGTCACTTGATACATATATAGCTTTATATTACTACTTTGAAACATACTAAAAGAAAGATCTCATTTTGATTTTTCTTTTGTAAAAAATACCTATGTGTTTAAACTGCAGAGAACATTAACACACATTAACATTGAAACCATTCCACTTATTGCTGCTCTGTAGGATACAATGCTATTGTATTGCATATAGATGATGTATTTTAGTTAGAGTAAATGTTGAAATTGGTTTAAAAATGATGTAGGTGTTTGTTCTGTAGCAGATTATTTAAAAATGTATAGTCCTTATTAACACTTCTTAACTGAAATAATCCAAATGTATAGATTTACTTTAAGGATATTTTTATAAAACTTGAACTTTTCAAACACTAGAACGAGCAGTTTTACTAATTAGGTATAATAGAGTTATTTTAAACTCATTTTTGTTATGAAAAGTTTCAAATTTAGCCTGATTAGACAAAACAGGATAGTTAGCATTACCATTCAGTTGTTAATATTTATTGTTAATTTATGAAAACTTGTAGTAAATGACCAGGGTTCTAATGGGAATTTAAATAGATCCTGAATAAGGAAATCATACCATAAAAATCTTAGTCTTGTATTTGTTTTATAATTTTCTGCTGTACTCCGGTTCTTAAATTTGATCACCTTCCTTCCACTTGTAAGAATAAAATATAATAAGCTAAGAAATTCAACCATTATCACTGGCAGATCTGTTTCAGTTTTCAACAGATGATTGATCATTTTGCTGAGTAAGTAGGAAGATGGATCTTGAGTTTAGTAGTTTTAGTGATGTCAACATTTTTTTTTTGTAAGTGTCCTTTTCTTTCCATTTATTGCAGTTTGTAATGATTTTGTTTTATTTTGCCATGTATCTTGAAGATGTTGAGGATGCAGTCATTAAAATTTTGCCATTTTGTAACAGATTTTATTAATTTTAAGAATAAAATATATAATTCTGTATTTTAAAACATGCTGCTACTGATTTGCTTATCATAATACTGTGCCAAAACTGAGATTTGTAGAATATAATTGAAGAGACATTTAGATTTCAATTTCTTTCTTTCTTTTTTTTTTAAATCTCTTTGGTATTTTTCTGAAAACAAATACTTTGAAACAAACTATGGCTCAATAGAACTAATAATAGATCTTTTGTTGAATATAAAAAGAAAATGCATTTTGTTTCCTTATACACAAAACAATGGTTTTCCTGTTCAACATGTTTTTCCTGTTGTAAAGAATATATTACAATTTTTCAGTAGTAATAAAGAATAGTAAAATTATTTTACACGTGATTTATAGGTGATGGTTTTAAATGGCCAGTTTGCTTTTGGTTTCTTCCCCCCCTGCTTTTTGGGTCACACCCAGCAGTACTCTGTGATTACTCCTGACTCTGCACTCAGGAATTACTCTTACTCCTGGCGGTGCTGGAGGGACTATGTGGGATGCCCAGGTAGGCCACATGCAAGGCAAACACCTACCCATTGGACTATGACTCCGGCCCATGTGCTTTTAGTTTTCAAAAGATGCTTAAACTTAGATTCATGGAACTAGGTAGAACAAAGCTATCACAAATCAGGTCAGTTTTTTCAGCTTGAATAACATGTGTTATACCTGAGCTTTTTCAGGTTGGTTATTCCACTTCCTTATCTCTGAGCTTTTCTTATTCTTGAATAAAGTCATTGCTAGAGATCTACCTAAAATTTGCTTGCTTTTTGATGTGCTTAGTATTCCTTTGACTATTTTACCAGGATGTTACTTTAAATACCAATCATTACTTAAATGATAAATGTTGGAGATTAATAACATCCCCACCAAAAAGTTTAATCTTGTAGAGTTGGATTTTAGAACAGGGTAGGGGCTGGAGAGATAACACTGTGTTTGCCTGGCACAAGGCTTACCTGGTTGGATCACGGTTTCCCATATGGTCTTGAATCACTCAGGGATCACCCCGAGCCTGCCAGGACTAGAGTAAGGACCAGGCATGGCCACAAGACAAAAAAAGAATATTGGGGGCAAGATGTGGCAAAGGAAGAGTCTGAAATTTTGTAAATCTCATAGTTACTACTTTCCATGGGACTGAGCCAGAGATTGCAGTCAGCAGTGAATGAGAATTTCTCTTTCACCATTTCCCCATCAAGCTTTGGTATAGACTTTTAGATGTGTTTGGTAGATGCTTGTCAAGAGGTATTGTTCTTTGCTATTGATTCTTTTAGCTTAACTACTTAAAATTCTTCTTTAGGTTCAAAGTACAGAGGGAGAAGTTCCTCATGTTCCAGCCAATTACCAGCTAGGTCTTAACAAATCAAAGAGAGGTAAGTGAACTATGAATCCTCTCATCCCAAGCAAAATACTGTCAAAGTATTTTCAGCTGGTTTTGAAAAGGAATATAGACTGTCAGTATTTATAGTACCTAGTGTAAAGAGAAGAATGATAACATGGGTAAGCAGGCTTCTCTGTGGCTGGTTATTTGATGTTTGGATTTTCTTGAAAACAATATTAGATAAAGAAGTATGTATAAAGAAGTATGTGTATTTTTATATAATACTATATAAAGTAATAGTTGATTATTCTCTAATGACTTTCTCAAACAATTCTGTATACTCTATTTTTTTTTTAATAAGACATAAGGCCTATATAAGAAGCCCTAGGAAGAGTAGCAAAGGGCTCCTTTTTAATTATTATGATTGAAATTTACCATTGTTATTATCCACCTCTGAGTTTTCATTATTCAGATAGGATTCCTAAGGGCTGGAGCAATAGCTCAGTGGGTAGGGTGTTTGCCTTGCATGCGGTCGACCCGGGTTCGATTCCCAGCATCCCATATGGTCCCCCAAGCACCGCCAGGAGTGATTACTGAGTGCAGAGCCAGGAGTAACCCCTGAGCATTGGCTGGGTGTGACCCAAAAAGCAAAAAAAAAAAAAAAGAAGGATTTCTAGATATAACACAAATATGCAAGAAATCACAAATTCCTTAGTAATAGTTATATAGTTAAATTCAAACTATAGATCAAAGGTGAGTGGTTGTAGATAGTATCCTACTCTTGAATTATTAATTGACTAAGAACCCTTGAATCTATTCCTTTCATTTTTAACTTGCAATGAAAAAAAACATGTCAGGTCTTTCTTAATTTCACAAAGCATTTGAGATGTAGTTAGGAAGTATTTCAAACTAACAATAGGACTATTTATTTTTAAAATTTTGCACATTCTGAACCACACAGCTTTTTTTTAAATCTTCATAGATACGCTTTTAGAATAAAAAGATTGTATTTTATTTTCTGATCTTGATTTCATATGAAATAACTTACATGTAGTTCCTCCTTTATTGCAGTATAGAACTTAGAAACTATTAAGATCTCCTCCTAATAGGCCATTACATCTTTCATTAGACATAAAATGAACTTTTCTATTTAACTTCATCCCACTTGTAAGTCTATAAATACATGCTTATATTTCTGAACTATAAGGTAGAGTTAATAGGCATTTAGGACTGTTTCTGTAGATAGACAGATACAGGAGATTTTGAAAAAGCAGCTTGCCCTGTTTCAAAGAGGCATAAAAGCAACATGCTTTTAGATCTGTAAGTGATGGGTATTCACATTTAGATTTCTTACTTTTTTCTATATCCATATTTGTTTATACAAATTTTGTTGTTTCTATAGGGCATGAGTAAAGATATTAACATTTTTATGAATTGCTTTTTGAAAAAAAATTACTAACTTGTGTGCATGAGAGGAGAATAACAATATTTTAGTTATTTCTGAAATACCTTCAATATTTAGACATTTTGATAATGTGATATGTAATTATAATTATAGGATTAGAATCACTTGGATTATATTCCTTTCTTAAATTTAGTAAAAGTATACATAATGTATGTGAGGCAAGCATGTTGATGGTTAATGGCTTCTGACACACCTGCATCACGTGTTTGAAAATACTTAACACTTTAGACACTGTCACTGTCCTCCCATTGTTCATCGATTTGCTCCAGCGGGCACCAGTAATGTCTCACAACAAATTCTGAGACTTGTTACTGTTTTTGGCATATTGAATATGCTAAGGTAGCTTGCCAGCCTTTGCCTTGCGGACAAGATACTCTTAGTAGCTTGCAGGGCTCTCCCAGAGGGGCGGAAGAAAGGAACCTGGGTCTGCCTCCTGCAAGGCAGATGCTATACCTGCTGTGCTATGGCTCCAACCCAACACTTTAGTATAGTATTTAATTTGGGATTTACTTGCTGAAACCAGAGAAGGTAGGTGTCTTGTTACAAAGTAACACTCAGTATCTCCTGTTGATCCTATTTCAACATTTTTCTATGCACAGAAAACAAACAGTATTTTATTTAGTCTAACAATATATATATATAAAGAAATACCTCTCCCCCCTATTTTTAATGGTAGGACAAAAAACTTTCAGATTTTCTTAGCTCTCACTTATTGTTCACTTCTTAGTATTTTGGGCTTTTTGGGGAGGTGAGAGGACACAATTAGAAATAATAACTCTTCTGCTATAATTGAGATGTAATATTTTTAGTTCCATATTTTTATGTATACAAATTATATTTTTGTGAGATTGAAATGTCTTACTATAAAACTGAATTGTGGTTTATCATTCAAAGAGAGTGTGTCCATTTATATTCCCTAGTGTTCCTACAAGAAAGGAGTATTCAGTTTGGGAGGTGAAATCATTGCTTATAGTGATAAAGCAAAAACTTGAAGCCATCCCCCTCTGTTTACTGTTTAAGGACCCCTGCCCTAAGCACATGCAGCCTGCAGTTTGCTCTAATTTAACTTGTGTGAATTTAACCACTGAAAGATTTACCCACTGCACATACTGTACCGCTGTTCTTAATAGAGAGAATTTGAGTGAAACTCCTCACTTTGGCTTTTCTGTACTCTGACAATAGAACTGCCCTTTGCCCAACCATAAGGGCAGTTTCTTAATCCTTTAAGTGAGCACTTAATTTTGTTGTCCTAAGGAGATAGTTAAACTTGATTCATTCGGCAAACATGTTTTAATTGTTAGCTTCTTCTAGTTAATGGAATACAAAGAAAAGTAATTAAGGTCCTCTGCTTTCAGGAGCTTATAAGGAACATACATCAGTTCCTCATATTTCACTATACATTTCTTTAAGCTTAAAACTTCTAGAATAATTTCAGAATTATTCTAAACTTTTAATTAAAAAATAATTTCATTTGGACTGGTGATAGTACATTGGGGAGGCCTGTGGCCGACTGTGTTCAGTCTTCGGCATCCCATATGGTCCTCCGAGCACCACCTGGAATGTTTCTGAGTGCAGAACCAGGAGTAACCCCTGAGCATCACCAGGTGTAACCTCCTCCCAGAAAAGCAAAGAAAAAATGAAAAGCTAATTTCATTCTACGATACTTTTAACTTGAGGCTTCAGTGAGATGTTTTAAATTCAGGCAAATTTTAAATGCTTTTGGTTTCAGACATAATAACAGCATTTGTCTATCATTGCAGTCTTAAATGAATGTGGAAGTGGTAAGCACACTCTAACCTTTTGCTTTTGATGTTCTGCAGACTGACTTTTCATGGGTCTTCTCTCTTAGTGAATGTGACAGTTACAGTCTCATCCCTCTTGGTACTTGTGCCACAGATATGTGTGTTATCCTACTTGTCTGAGTTGGCTTTTTGTTTGTTTGCTTTGGGACCACACCTCATTGTGCTCACGGCTTACTCCTGGCTCTGTGTTCAGGGATCACATGGGATGAGAGACCATTTGGTTATGCCAGGAACCAAACTTGAGTTGGCCGTGTACAAGGCCAGTGCTCTACTTGCTGTATTGTCTTTCAGGCCCCTGAATTGACATTTTATTTGTAAAGGTTCAGTTATATAAACTAGGAATCAAAAGTTTAGGGTAAGAGAAATACAGAATTTTTATACATTGATTTTGTTAGTTGAACCTGTTTGAATTTCATGTAGTTTTTATGTAATAATTGTTTTATACCTAAGAAATATTTGCATTATGTTCAAAAATTGAGAACTTAAGTAGCCTTGATACAAATTACTTAATACTTTGGCCTTTATAGTATTCTTATTTAGAAGATAGTAGAAGTTTCTATGCTCTGCATTTAAATTTTTTATTTATCTACTAAATATCTTAACATTTTCATAATGGAAATCATTTTACTTTAGAACTTTAATTTTTATGAGCCACATTTAAGTTTAGCTCATTGTCTAAGACATTAATTGGACTTACCCAAATGCATTATGACTAGAGCCTAATTAGCAACTAAACGCAGATTTTCTAGTGATATGTGATTCAGTGTTTTTGTTCAAATTCAGGTTACTCTGTTTTGAAACCATATTTTATATAAGTGATGCCTGTTTTTGTTAAGAAGGAATCATTGTTGTATATCATGTATTTGTTGGGAATCATTTCTGTAATAATACTGCTCACACTGAAGTCATACTTAGTAGTTTTATAAAACTACATTTCTTTTTTTGTAGATCATCTGTTACGTACTGCAAGTCAGCATTCTGACAGCAGTGGTTTTGCAGAAGATTCAACAGACTGCCTCTCCCTCAATCACCTCCAGGTAAAATTTCCTACTGTAATAAACATTTTGATACATTTTATATCTAGATTGTTTTCCAATACTTGTATATTTCAAGGCTAAATCTGGGTAAACTTAAATTTTCAAATGATAGGAAGAACAAAAATTCCTGAATGAACGCAGTGTTATCTAGATATTTGCCTACAAATTTTAGATACCACTAATTTCTCACCTCTCTCTTTTAAGTACAGCCAATCTTTTCCTTCATTTGTGGACCCTCACTAAACAAGTTAATTAATAACCTATTGTCTCATTTTCCTTATTTTTACAGTCCTTTTGTTTTAGTATTTTATAGTAATTTTTGTTTAATAGTTAGCATTTAACTTGGAGTTACAGCTTGCTGAATTTATATGACTTTAATGCCAGATTGGCAAATTACTGAGGACATGAGTACATCTTTATCCTTAAGAGGTAGTGTATGTCTGGATTATATAGAATGTTCGTGAAAAATTTTAAAGAAACACATAAGCAAATTTTAAGGAAAATTAGAAGAAAAGATCACCCTCGCAAAAGAGCTGTTAAAGTAAATTTAAGGCAAAAGAAGTTTCTAGGAAACTCAAAAAGACAAATCCTGTACACAGAAAAAATAGGAGATAGAAGAGACAGACTTTCCAATGAAAACCTATAGCTATCAGGGAAGAGGGTAAATGAGAAGGCAGAAAAACACCTGTTTTCAAATACAGATGTGTTGTCACATTGTCATAGAATGACAATTTTTTTTTTTAATATGGAGATGTTAGGGGTTATTGTTTGTCTAAAAGGAGAATTTGTACCACTGTCCTCCTGTTGTTCATGGACTTACTTAAGCAGGAACCAGTAACATCTCCATTGTGAGACTTGTTACTGTTTTTGGCATATTGAATAGACCATTGGAGCTTGTCAGGCTTTGCCCTGCAGTTGGGCGGGATACTCTCGGTAGCTCACCAGGCTCTCAGAGAGGGACGGAGGAATTGAACCCAGGGCAGCTGTGTGCAAGGCAAATGCCCCAATAAAGAGGAGAATGTCGGAATATTTGAGATAGAACTGGAAGCATACAGGCCCTAATCCTGAGAGGATGTGATAAGAAGTGCAGATTGGGGGAATTAGTTTTGACCAAGAGGACACTATTTCAGAATGGCAGTGTTGGGGAGAAAGAAAAAGTTTGTTATTAGGGAAGAAAGTAGTGGAATTTTTTGTCTGCCTATGACTCTTGTTAAAAAGGAAGATAAGGGTGTTGATAAAAGTTGTAAGGAAAGCAGTATATGTTTTGGAAAACCTATTTTCCACTTTGTGACAAAGTGGAATGATTCCCATTAGGGGCAGTTTTGAACAGGACCAGGGCATAAACAAAGGTGGGAGACCACAAGAGTAAAGAAGTGTTTAAATAAAGTTTGGTATTTTGTTAATGATTCTTACTTGATAATTTGAATTCTCCATATCTTAACTTGTCTTTCTTCCTCAGGTTCATGAGTCCTTGCAAGCCATGGGGAGTAGTGCTGATAGTTGTGACAGTGAGACAACAGTTACATCATTTGGTGAAGACCTCGTCACACCAACAGTCCAAGACCAGCCTTATTTTAATGAGTCTGAGGAGGAGTCTCTTAGCCCTCTTCAGAAAGGAAGAGAGAAAGCAGCAAAAATTGCTGACAAAAGAAGGTCACAAAGCCAGGATGTCTCCCAGTGCGAAACTGTTGAGAGTACAGGAAATAAACAGTCCACCTGTAGTGCAGGGGATCAAGTTACTGAAGTTACTGAAACAAAAGAGGGTTTATCTCCAACACAGTCTGAGGAACTGCTGAGGGAAGCAAGTGACGATAAAAGCAGCGTATGTGAATTTGCTCAGTATAGCACACATCATATTTTTACATCATTGGCTTCTATTGAATGCAGTGAAAGGGGCTCTGAAAATAGCACTGGGACTTCTTCCGTGGACAAAGTTAATACAGCATTGCAAAGAGCTCAAATGAAGGTTTGCGGTCTATCTAATCAGAGAATAGGGCGTAGTCTTATGAAATCAAAAGATTTGTTAAAACAGAGGTACTTATCAAAGGCTGGATATCCTCTAAGAAGGTCTCAGTCTTTACCAACCACCTTACTGAGTCCAGTAAGGGTTGTATCTTCTGTCAATGTTCGGTTATCTCCTGGAAAGGAGACGAGATGTAGCCCGCCTTCTTTCACCTATAAGTACACCCCTGAAGAGGAACAACAGTTAGAACAAGAGATGACAGAACATGACAGTCAGTCTCTAGTAAAATCCACTATTTTCATCTCTCCATCGTCTGTGAGGAAAGATGAAACGTCTCAGAGTGAGGCCAATCAGATGGAGGAATGCCATCATCGAAGGACTCCGACCTGCTCACTGTATACTCCAGCGCCTGTGTCTCAGTCCACCTGCTCCCTGCACTCGCTCCACTCTGAGTGGCAGGAAAGGCCCCTCTGTGAGCACATGAGAACTCTGAGCACTCACAGTGTTCCCAACATATCAGGCGCCACCTGTAATGCTTTCTCTCCTTTTGGGTGCCCTTACTCACATCGACATGCTCCCTTCCGAAATTGCCCCGTGAACCCTCCTTCTGCCATCGAAATGCAGTTACGAAGAGTATTGCATGACATTAGAAACTCATTGCAGAATCTTTCCCAGGTATGAGAAAAGCATTTTTCTTTTTTATTTCTTTCTTCTTCTTTTTTTTTTTTTTAATAATTTGAGTACCTCTTTGATTTACTGATAAAGAGACCTGTCAGACAGACACGAATCACGCCAGCTTCTTTGTATATGCCTAGAACTTCTTTCTGTCTGTCCTCCCTGTTAAGGGGAATATTGATTGTAACTTATTCCAAACAAAATTAATTTCTCTGCTCATAATCTCCCTCCCTTCTAGGAAGAAATACCCCATTGAATAGCCTTCCTTTAGTTTCACCTCCTTTGTTCTGATCTTAGCCAAGTTGTTTCTTTATTAATTACCATCTTAATGTGCTCTTTCCTTTTCTCTGCTATTTGACAGTGTTTACTACCTCTTTTGTAAGTTTTCCTCCCTATGGCTTCTGTGGCACCATATTTTCCTGATTCCACTCATGTAGCCCTCTGACAAAGCTTTCCCCTTCATCTGCTGACTCTGACGCTGGTCTCCTGGCACAGAATTAGTCTGCTTACACTGTGTTCAAAGTCTGGAACTACCCCAGAACAGGAAAAGAAATCAGGTAAAGTGTAAATTTAAATAGAAAACAGTCTTTATGTTTCGTTACTTTCAGAGTCAACACTCTAAAATTTTTTAGAAATTTTACTAAATTACTAAATATTACTAGAAAGATTATTGGAAATTTCCCCCTCCCAAATAATGAAAGTTAGCAAGCCATTCTTAAATTTGATTTTCAAATTGAATAGTTTCTTTCCAAATTTCTCCCAGAACTTCTTACATTTAGACAGTTGAGAAAATAATAATGTAGTATAGTCATCAAAATGTTCAGTTAGGAGTCAAGCGGCATGATTCACATATAGTAAATCTCTGACTTGATGAAATTCACTTTGAAAGTGAAAAATCAAAGTTGTGTCTTTTCAAGTTGTATGGTAAAAAATACATATTTTACTGATACAACTTTTAATGATTTTTGATTTAACTAGAATGTGGTCTGTCTTCCTCCTTATAAAATGTGCTTCTGTGACTTAGATATTCAACCTTTTTGCCTTGATTACTTGGAAGGTGGAATTCCCAGAGCCCTCTACCTGGGAATAATACCCTGTAATTGCTTCTGTCTCTTCCTTTTCTCCATCCCTCAACTTCCTACTCTACTTCCCTTCCTCCCATGCTCCCCTCCCCAAATCCCTCTTCCTTCTCTGTTCTTTTCCTTTGCTTTACGTTTAGTTCTTCTCTAGATGTCGTCTTCTTTCACATCAGTAAAGCAGCGACTTAATTTTCCCGCCCTCATTTCACCCCACACCAATACATGGTATGTTTTCATAATCATCCCTCTGCATGTTTCTAGTCTTATGTTTCTTTCTGTGTGTTTCGTTCTTTTGGACTGCATGTGGGGCCTCTAAACAGTTGTGCATTCCAAGCTGTTTTTACAAATGTTGCTTGTTTTTTTTTTTTTAACTTTCAGTCTCATTTCTTTGCCTGACCAAAATTTAGTGTTGAAGGTCAACTAAGGTGTCACTTCTGTTGGGAACACTTGCTCACCCAATCTGGATTTTTGTTTGTTTTCATCATAGCTTTTTCCACCTGCCTCTCAATATTTTAATAATATTCTTTAACTTTATTTCTTACACTGTGAAAAAAGAATTAAAGTGTGGGATATCTGTTATCCTTTTTTTCTTCATTGCCTACATATAGTAAAGATTTAAAAATGAGTCTAATGATTATTTGCTATTTTCTTCATTTAAGTCATTAAGTCTATAGTCTCAGGATATTTGCTATTTATTTCTACATGTTTTAGTTTGCCTTTTGTTTTTTCTGCTTTGAGTTGATCACTATCTGCATGTTGCTGTTGTTGTTGTTTTATACTTGGAACAAATAGGAAGAAGGAGTAACACTAAGGAGTGATTTCTTTGGTTTCTTTTAGCATTATAAATTGATTTTTTCTCTCAAAAACAAATAGAATGTGGTACCCAACCCTCATTTTTAGTAGCATAGTTTGGGAAATAGTCACTTGAACATTATTTTTCAATTGTACTTTTGTTATTTTGAAGTATCCTATGATGAGAGGAGCTGACCTTGCTGCTGCTTCATATAGTACTCAGAAATCATCTGTTCTACCTCTTTATGAAGTAAGTTACTATTTAAATCCTCAGATTACAAGAATATGTCTGTGATTTAGAAGTATAATTTTATTTTATTGTATTTTAGAATACTTTTCAGGAGCTTCAGGTAATGAGGCGAAGCCTAAATTTGTTTAGAACACAAATGATGGATTTAGAATTGGCAATGCTGCGTCAGCAAACCATGGTTTATCATCATATGACTGAGGAGGAAAGGTAAAAGTTCATTTTGTTTTCATCTATCTTCCATCTTAAACGCATCACCGGCTTTCCTTTAAACTAGGTTTTATTTCTATTGCTATATAGCCTGTATCTGTGTAACGATTTGTTTCTACTGTTCCTTAACTATGAAAAAAGTGTGTGTGTGGCAGGGGCGAGTGCTGGAGAAAAAGCCTCGTGGATAAGGAGCTAGCCTTGCATGCAGGTTTGATCCCTTGTAGTACGTACATACGGTCTTCCAAGCCCTACCAGGAGTGATCACTGAGCTCAGAGCCAGGGGTAAGCCCTGAACACTGCCATTGTGCCCCCAAAACAAAACAAACAACAACAATGTGTGTATTTGTGTGTGTGTGTGTGTGTGTGTGTGTGAACTTACATATATGAACTTCTATCGTAATGAGTGCTTTTCTGAGTAAACTTTATCTATATTGTATTAAATAAAATAGTGGTTGAAATCTGTTTTTTAGTGTGTGGTATATTTGTGAGAGTGAGTCAAAGAAGAAAGACCGATTATCCCCGTGGTTTCACCTACTGTAGCTTGCTCTTGGGCTAATTTACACAACTTGGGATTTTGCTACATTTCGATAACTTTAATGTCAAGAGAGCCCAGATAAGAATTTTGTTTCAAACATTGAGTTGCCCCACACCTAGGTATGAAGTTGATCAGCTCCAAAGTTTGAGAAATTCAGTCCGAATGGAACTTCAGGAGCTGGAACTGCAACTGGAGGAGCGCCTGTTGGGGCTGGAAGAGCAGCTGCGTGTGCGCACTCCTTCTCCTTTCCAGTCCTCGGCACTCCTGGTATGCTTCACTGGGGCTGTCAGTTGTTGTCACTGATTTATTTCTAGTGCTCCACATAATTTAGAATACGGGCTTTAATTTTAAAAACTTACTCTAATGGCAAGCAAGACGTGCAGGATGTTAAACACTTACCATGTTAACGGACTCCATAAGGTGATGTTTAGAATATTTATAAATAAATTGAAAATTTTTGCAGTTCTTTATATTGTCATGGAGACCACTTGCAGTGGTGCTCAGGGTCCTTGGGGCCACTCCTGAGATGCAGCAGGCCTCTAATGATGGGGATTGAGCCCCGGGCTTCACAAATGCACAGCTTGTGCTCTGCCACTGGAGCCACATCCTTGGCACGAATCATGATTTTTACTGAAGAGCCACATAAAAGTTTTTAGGGGGTTCAAAAGAAAAATGATAATGGGTTAACGAAACTAATAGGGATATGTCACTGCATTTCACAGAATGTAACTGCAAAGAACATAAATAAATTTTTATTCACTTTTTTCTCCCCTTTTATCTCTGAATAAATAACTTCCCTTTAAACTTTTCTTTTGTTTTCAATATTGCTGAATTTTGTTTTTTAAATGTTCAGTGGGATCTTTTGAAAAGACAAAGTATATATAATCAAGAAAATGAAAAAGAAGTACTATTTCTCATTATGGACTTTTATACTTATAGTGTCCCTTTTCATGAAATTTGAACTTCAAGGTGTATCTTATTATGCCAGTTTTTGTAATTGTATATTTTTTAACGTATCAAAGAGTAGCTGGGAGATATCTCAAATGGTAGAATACATACCTAGCATGTTCAGAGCCATGAATTCATGGCTGTTCATGGTTCTCTGAGCACTGCTGGGTGTGGCTTTATTGTGTCCTTGGGTACCAAACCATTGTGTTCACCTTCGAAGGTGTAGCATTGCTTCGTATGGTCCCAGGTGCTCATGAGCACTGCTGAATTTGTCCCCTGTAAAATACTTTTTGTTTTGTTGTTTTGGGGTCACATTTGGCAATGCACAGGACTTATTTCTGGCTCTGTGCTGAGGAAGCCCTCCTCAGCACAGTGCTTAGGGTACCAAATAGGGCCAGGAATAGAGCTGATAATTTTTTTAAGAAATTTTAAAAACTGAAATATTGAACTTTTATCTGATATTTGAACAATATATTTAACCTTTTTCAACATAAATTAGTGAATGTATTCCCATTTGTATATGCACACATATGAAGTAGAATACATATGAACACATATGTATGTAGGATAGACTAAGGAAATTCTGTATCATTTCTGAATATTTTTTCCATGAAAGGTTTTGATTCCTTGGGTTGGAGAGAGAGAGAGAAAGAACAGGGATTAAAGCACTTGCCTTGTAGACTTCCAACTCTCTCTCGATCCTCAATACCATCTGAATATCAACATTCACATTCTGGTACCCACCCCTCTGAGTATTTGTATTCCTCTTAAGAAATGAGTTTTGTTGACAGTTGAGAGTCAGACTTATCTTCTGTGTATCCTAGTCATCAATTTTTTAGGATCCCATGACAGTTGAGAGGACCTTTGTGACACACACTAGTGGTTTGCGATGGATTGGTTTTTGACTGTCACTGTCACTGTCCTCTCATTGTTCATCGATTTGTTCGAGCGGGCCCAGTAACATTGTGAGACATGTTACTGTGTTTGGCATATCGAATATGTTACGGGTAGCTTGCCAGGTTTTGCCGTGCAGGCAAGATACTCCCGGTAGCTTGCCGGGCTCTCCGAGAGGGGCGGAGGAATCGAACTCTGGTCAGTCTATAGGTATAAAAAGATTTAAAATTATTTTTGTCAGTTAATGATTCAGGTAGCAATTGGCCTATTCATTTTAATAAATAACTTGATAAGTATGTATGTACATATATACATATATGTGTTTATATATACATATGTATACATGCACACACATCTATGTATGTATATTGTAAATGTTGTTCTTTTTCAGGGGATGTGTGGCAGTAGAAGCGCAGATAACTTGTCATGCCCTTCTCCTTTGAATGTATTGGAACCAGTAAGCCTCTCTCCTTTTAAGTTACTGGGGAAGGGAATAATACACAGTGGTCTCTGATTATCAGTGAATGATATATTCCAGGACACTTATGTACAGTTTCTTTCCTGTATAACACACCTGTTAAAGTTTAATTTATAAATTAGGTATAATAATAAATTATAGTAGCTACTAAAGTAGCACAGTTAGAACAATATATACTATAAAAATTATGTGACTGTGGTCTCTCAGAATACCTTGTTGTACTTTATATTTTTATGCCATGACTGACTGGATAAATGAAGCCACAGAAAACAAAACCATACTATAAGAAAACATTTTCATAAATACAAATTTTGTAGTGGAGATGAAAAAACATTTTAAAATACAGAATTCACTAAGTTGAATTGAAAAAAAGTAATTTAGACATTAATGAAAGTCTTACATAATGAAGACAGCCAGCTACATTATGGCAGTATGATTTATCTCTCTGTCCTAAAAGAAATAATGCGTAATAAGAAGTGAAAATTAGACATTTGGAAATATTATCTCACAGTCATATCCAGGTCCTTTATTACGTGAACTTATAAAATGACTTTTTGAAACAAAAGTGTGATTTTTATTGTAATTTAGGCAAGTTGGTTTATTTGAGGCAAAATCAATATGAATAGGTATTTAATTTTTCAGTAGATTTTCTTACAACTCATTTGGATCCCCCTGTGGTAACAACTATATAAAGTTTTATGACTTGATCTCACTGAGAATTTAAATATTCTTTGTTGGTTTGGGAATAAAACTGAATAGTTACTAAATGAATATATTAGAATAATCTTACTACATGTTAACTTAGTTGTGCAATAATAATAGCTAGGATTTTAACCCTTTGATTTACTGGTCTTAATTTCAAGAGAGAAAAGATTCCTTTTTTTTTTTTAAATCTCTAGGTCACTGAATTGATGCGAGAACAGTCATATTTGAAGTCTGAATTGGGCTTGGGACTTGGAGAAATGGGATTTGAAATTCCTCCTGGAGAGAGCTCAGAATCTGTTTTCTCCCAGGCTACATCAGAGTCGTCCTCTGTCTGTTCTGGTCCTTCTCGTGCTAACAGAAGAACTGGAATACCTTCTGGTGACTCACCTCTCAAACCCAAGACCCACCTGGGACCGAGGAAGAAGGTATTCCGGGCATCAGTAGCCCTCACACCAACTGCTCCTTCTAGAACAGGCTCTGTACAGACTCCGCCAGATGTGGAAAGCTCTGAGGAAGCTGGAGCAGCTGAAGAAGCCTCAGAGACTGGAGGACAGAAATCTGAAGGGGACGAAGAGTATGGGAAGATCCCATTAATGCCAGCTGCTGCTGAAGAAATGCATAAAAATGTGGAACAAGATGAGTTGCAACAAGTCATACGGGAGGTGAGTCAAATCTGTACTTTATAGGATTCATGCATTAGAGGAGGTTGTTGGATTTTTTTAAACTCATTACATTCAGTGATTTTAAGAGAGTTTAAATCAAATTCTAGTTTAGTTCCTATCTACTGATATAGATTTGTAATGACATTTCTGCAAACTTCATTCTCCAGTGTGAAATAATTATTACTTTCTATAATGTAAAGTTCAATAACAGGTAATAACTCTCTTAAGCTTGTTTCCATATTTGTGAAATGAGGGAAAGTAATTTAGATATCTTGAAATGTGGAAATTATAGGAGTTATTTAAAGAAAAGTACAGGATTTTATCTTGGATGTGAGCATTGTGTAAACTGAAGTGGTTAACCATACTAAAAGTTACCAAATGACTGTAAAATTTAGGATGCTTAGTAGTAAAGGTCTAGGTTATTTGAGAAAATCGATGAAGTAGCTGTTTTGAAAGATCAGATAATGAGAAATAATGTTTATATATTTTTCAAAGAAAATTTCTAGGTTAAATTTTATGTTTTTTCCCCATTTTCTGAACTCAACACTATCTTTCAGTATAAAATGCGGTAATCATAGGAAAAAAATGAACTATGTTGAATTTTTTTTGCATTCTTTCCATTAAGAAATGGTCAGGGTCACGGTCCTCCCATTGTTCATCGATTTCCTCGAGCAGGCCCAGTAACGTCTCCATTGGAGACTTTGTTGCTACTGTGTCTGGCATATCGAATATTCTCAGTAGCTTGCCGGGCTCTCCGAGAGGGGCGGAGGAATCGAACTCGGGTCGGCCATGTTGGCTGCGTGCAAGGCAAACACCCTACCGCTGTGCTATCGCTCCAGCCCCCATTAAGAAAAATTTTTTTAAATGATTTTTTATTTTAATCAAAGAACCATGATTTACAAAGTTTATTTGTTGTCGTGTTGAGGCTACAACTGGCAATACTCAGGTGTTACTCCTGGCTCTATACTCAGGAACCACTCCTGACGGTGCTTGGGATAGAAGATAGAACTTGAGTCACCCCAGTGCAAGGCTTTGTTTGCCCACTGTACTCTCTCTGGCCCCCAAAATTCTTTTTTTGTTTCATTTTGTGGCTACACCTGGCTGTGTTCAGGGCTTACTTTGGTTCTGTGCTCAGTGATAACTCGCAGCAGGGCTTAGGGAATCACATGCAGTGCTAGATATCAAACACAGGTGTGCGAGACAAGCAAGTCACCCACTGTACTACCACTCAGGCCCCAGTAATTCTTCTTTTGGAAAAAGAGTCCCCCACATTGAGTAGGGAGGGTGGGATGGGCGCTGCTGGACCACACACATTGATGCCCAGGAGCTACTCCAAACTCTGCTCAGGAATCACTCATGATGTCAGGGGACCATGCAGTGACAGAAATCACACTAGGAGGGTTGACAGTTTACTTCCCAAGCACCTTAAGCTCTGTACTGTCTCCTGACGTTTTTTAAGAAACTTCAAAGGAAATTCTTATGAAGAACCACAGTTAGTTACTGTTTTCTTCCAACTGAGATACCAAATCTTGTAAAAGTTTTGAACTCAACACTATCTTTTGATGTAAATTGCAGTAGTGATAGGGAAAAAAATGAACTATGTTGAATATTTTTCTGTATTCTTTCCATTAAGAATTTTTAAATAAGTTTTTATTTAATCAAAGAACCATTATAGATTAAGAAAAAACAATCATTTTAAAAAAAGTTTTTATGAGCATCTTCTCTGTAAAGACTAAATAAGTGTGCGTGTGTGTGCAATATATGTACACACAGGACATAGCATTTTATGTTTAAGTCTTATAAGATGGTAAACAAAACTATCTCAGAATATAGTTTTAATACAAAAAAATATTTCATTAAGATCTAAGAATTTGGAAGTGGTAAAGGTCCAAGTAGAAATTGTGGTTAGTGGTTCCCAGAGTTTAATCCAGGTGTTTTTGGTAAATTAGGTAATGTAAACCTATGCATGAATCTTTAGAATTAATCTGTAATAAACACAGAACAGACTTCTAGTGGCTGTAGGTCAAGAATGGTGGCAGCAGACCAGAATCTTCCCTTAAAGTATAACTGATCCTCCGGGTCCAGAGATTAGTTCATGTCTACTAAATGTCACCAAACATATGAAAAGTAAAGTTAATATTGCTACAGTGTAATGTCTGTTTCTAAAAATTACTGTGCTCTGTAGTAAAAACCACTGGGAAATGTATGAAAAATGTGATTAAAAGCATAACACTCAAAACTTTTCCAGTGACAAATTAAATAGAAATAGTTTCATATATTTTCAAAAAATGATTAATGCATGTCTTTAATAACTAAGACCCTTTACCTTGTTTAAAACACTTGACATTTGCTTGTGGTATTGGAAATTCAACTTTGGAAAGATTGCAGTTCATGAGTTACTGTGGACTAGTCAGGAAGAGTGAGCTGTAATCTGACAGCAGTGCTACAGAAAGTAGAGTTCTTCAACTGTTTTTTATATCCTTGGATAGGAACCTGTCATGCATGCCAGTCCACAGAGTAATTTTTGCATACCTTTGTCTTGGAGACAAATAGTCTACTGAGATAACTGGTAGATAATGAATGTGTGTGTTTTGTGGGGGTACCATGTTCATAGCTTCTGCTGAATGCAGTTAATCTGTTTTCACCTACTGTTTTCATGTGGCTAAAATTGCACATAAGAAAATGCAGAATACATTCAAATTAAGTTGTTTCCTAATATTTAATCATAGGGAAACAGTTTTACATATTCAAAACATACTTAGGACATGAATTGCCAATTTGATATTTAGTTTTTTTAAATTTAATATATTTATTTTATTTTTATTTTATTTTTTGCTTTTTGGGTCACACCTAGTGATGCACAGCAGTTACTTCTGACTCTGCACTCTGGGATTACTCCTGGCAGTGCTCAGGGGACCATATGGGATGCTTTGAATCGAACCTCAGCTGGCCTCGTGCAAGGCAAACACCCTATCGGTTGTCCTATCGCTTCAGCCTCCAATACATTTGTTTTACAATAGTACAGTGGTACAGTGGACTGGAGCGATAGCACAGTGGGTAGGGCATTTGCCTTGCACACAGCTGATCCAGGTTAGATTCTTCTGCCCCTCTCGGAGAGACTGGCAAGCTATCGAGAGTATCTCGGCCACACGGCAAAGCCTGGCAGGCTACCCGTAACATATTCGATATGCCAAAAACAGTAACAAGAAGTCTCACAATTTGTTGTGAGACGTTACTGGTGCCTGCCTGAGCAAATCGGTGAACAGCGGGAGGACAGTGCTACAGTGCTAGAGTGGTGCAGTACTTCATAAGTGCTGTGTTACTACACTACTCCTATCCCTAGAGTGCCTGGATGGTTTCACCATTTCCCCAACGTCCTCTCCCTCACCCCAGCACTCTCACATCACAGTTGTACTGGCCAAATCTTGGTGTAGACCAGTTTGATTTTTCCAATTCTGTGCATGTATTTGTCCTTTAGGTGTAATTATTTTTTTAAGTTTATATGGCTTAGATAAAGTTTATCAAACCTATAACTGAAAAAACAAGTTAATCAACCTGCATTCATTGTGTGCATTGACTGTGATTATACTCCTTTCTTACTTATCAAAGGCCAGTTTTGAGTGAAATTACATGTTTTGTTTCCTTGCTGTATTTAACCTAAAGAAGTATGTACACCCACTCCACCCATCCCCCATATCAGACTTTTCTTCTTTTCACTTTCTGTAGTTTTATGGTTTTCCTTGAAAACTCAGATAAACTTGTTATGTTTATCTGGTACAAAGATTTCCTTAATGAATATTTGAGTTCTCATTTTCAAAGTTGTTAATTGACTTTTCTGCCCAATCTGAAATTTTCTAGGAATAAAACATTTCTACACTAGACATTAATATTTTGGCTGGTAGAAAGTAGGGTATGGAAGTCATTGTTCCTGTTATGCTTTGTTAATCCTAGAGATTATATGATTATTTATAACAACCACCAATTCAATATTAAAGATTTAAATTTGAAGATATTTAAATTGTCATACAAATCAAATGTTAGAAGAATTTTTCAGAATTTGTTATCAGTTGGAGGAACTTGCCCTTAAACATTCTTTATTTACTATCTACAAAGGAGGGATTTTCACCTAAGCAAAATTCATACATCCACCAAGGCCTATGAAGATTATTGCTGTACTTAAGAAATAAGTCATTCTGAAGTACTTTGGAAACATATATAAATAGATAATTACGCTGTACAAGTTTTAACTCTAGTGAAGAGACAAAGTTCAAGTCATGTACTCAGGGGGCCACTCAGTGATTTTCCATTAGCTGGGCCAGCATATCAGTTGCAAATTTTCTTTTAAGTGTTAATATCTTAACTCCTTAATTACAGTGATTGTTAAAATTTATGAAATATTTAAAATTCAAATAGTCTTGCTTCCATTCACATCAAAATTCATAGTCCTTTTTTATTTAACACACAGCACTTTTTTTTTAAAGCTCATTGTGTTAGCTATCAAGAAAATTAGATTCTATCCTTAGTACATTCCAGAACCCTAGCCTCTATTAACAAAGCCACTACTCAGGATGACAATATAATCTTGGGTTAGACGTTTTCAGGTGAAGATGATGTGTGTTCGGCCAACACTTGTTGGGGAAGTTTACTTATTGTACTCATAGAAGTATGAAAATAGGAATATCTATGAAGCATTTGTTTCCATCATTTCATCACGTATAAAGTTTTTCAAAAGAATGCTTTCATTATTTATAATGTGTTAATACACTAGAATTCTTTAGAAGGCAAGAGCAAGTTCTTTCAGACAGATGTTTAATAAACTCATTCAGTAACTAAAACCTTGCCAGATTAAAGATACCTCTTTTTCTGTGCAGATTGTATATATTGTAATTGGGAAAAATACAGGCTCTTGGAATTTTTCTTGGTGGTCTGTGATATGTGTAATTAGTTGTTTGAAACTGTTTATAGTTAACATTTTTAAAAATAAATAAAAATATTCCTTAATGGAATGAACATGTGCATACCCATGAACACAATTTCAACAGAATTAAACTTTGAAAGTAAACATGAAAGTTTCTTTTTTGAATGAGAGGCTATCTTATTTTGGGGGATAATGGGTATGTTTCCAGCATCAACTTTTGGAATGGCATCATGGTGACTGTAGTGTCACTGAGCACATTGGAGTAAACTGGTTTGCTCAGGACTGGCTGGCAGTTGCTCACTATGATGATGCCATACATCGGGATGTCCCTAAAGCAAGGGGGGACTAGTAGATAGACATGGCGCTTTTCAAAGCAGCCTCATGGTTGCATATAGTGGAGGAAGTCAGATGATGATGGACATCAGTTCCTTTATATTCTTTTGTTTTCAGAAAGGGTTTTTTTTGTTTTAAATAAAATCCCTAGGTTAAGATCAAGACTTGTACTATCTTCACTACTATCTGAAATGCTTTGAACATGTATTTTGGTAAATAACATACTTGACTGAAATCTTAATTATAACTTATTTTGTTATTTTTCAAGTGGATAATTTTAATGCATTTTGGTGTGTGTGTGTGTGTGTGTGTGTAAGGGGGGTATAAATTTGGAAATATTTTGCCACTATTTCTTTAATAAATTAACAAAAACATGTTAATCATTTTAGTGCTTTTTTTGACATGTTTCTCTTTAAAAATTTTTATTTCCTGAGCGATAGCACAGCGGTAGGGCGTTTGCCTTGCACGCAGCCAACATGGCCGACCCGAGTTCGATTCCTCCGCCCCTCTTGGAGAGCCCGGCAAGGTACCGAGAGTATCTCGCCCGCACGGCAGAGCCTGGCAAGCTACCCGTGATGTATTCGATATGCCAAACACAGTAACAACAACAACAACAACAACAAAAGTCTCCAATGGGGACGTTACTGGGCCCGCTCGAGCAAATCGATGAACAACGGGAGGATGACCATGACCGTGCTTTTTATATCCTACCTTACCATTCCTCTAGCTTCACTGATACATTTATTTCAAATTTATTAAGCACTGATGTCAGGATTTGCAATCAATGATATCCAGTCCTTTCTCTTTCTTTTCTTTTTTTGGGGGGTGGGGTGGATTTTGTTTTTTTGGGCCATTCTTGGTGATGCTCAGAGATTACTCCTGGCTATGCACTCAGGACTTGTTTCCTGTGGGCTTGGGGAACCATATGGATTTCCAGAAATCAAAATCGTATCAGCCTTGTTAATGGAAGCACCCTGTGTGCTGTATTATCTCTCTCTCCCCATAGATCCAGTCCTCTTAAAGGAACTCACAGCCAGGGCTTTAAATTTAGCCTCTTTTGTCTTTTTCTCATTTTCTTCCCTTCCTGGTAAGCCTCCTTGTCAATTAGTCTCCATGTTTTGTTTCTCATCCAAAAGCTGTAACTGATGTTTCCTGTGCTCACGTGAATTTGAAACTAGCCTTACGTTTTGTGACCTACTATTTTAAAATGCTATTCTGAGATTATTTTTCCTCTTCTCACACATACTAGTCTCCCATATTTTCGTTTATTCTGTTGTGACTAATGTATTTTTTTCTCTTTAGTTTTACAATACGTTTATTTTGTACCTGTTTGTACTACAGCCTTGCTGGTAAAAGATCTTTGACATGCTTTAGCACTATCTCTTTACCCTTCAAAATGTTCACAACACATTTTTGGTTTGTAAGCATTAGTTTTTTGGCTAATTAATTTAAAAAAGCGTGAAAACAGGTACCAGAGAGAGATATAGTACAATGAATAAAGTGCGTGCCTTGCACACGGCTGACCCAGTTCAAGCCCTGGCACCCCAGGATTAAGCCAGGATTCTACCCCGTGTAGAACCAGGATTAGGCCTGAGCCTAGCAAAAAATTAAACAAAGGATGAAGAGATTTAAAAATCTACTTTTCTTTTGTAAATAAATCATCTTCTTTTGCAAATAAATTCTGCTGAATCAGTAGTTCTGATTCAGCAGAATTTATTTGCCTTTATATTCTGTGACTAAGAAATTCTGATTTTTATGGAGCTGGAGAGATAGTACTGTGGATTGAGGTGCTTTTCTTGTATGTCTTGTATATAGCTGACTTTGGTGTGATCCCTGGCATCCAGTGTGGTCCCCTGAGCCCACCAGGAGTGATTCCTGAGTGCAGAGCCAGGAGTAACCCATGAACATTCCAGGTGTTGTCCAAAAAACAAAAACAAACCTGATTTTTATATTTAACTTTAAAAAATTTTTATATTTAAGGTTTAGAAATAAACAAGAAGCAAAACAAGAATCTTCTTTTGCTGTTACCACATACTACCTATTTCACTGCAGAGGAATAGCTAAGGAGCATTTGTTTCTACAAGTACTTATATTTATGTGTTTATGTACTTTGTACCAATTTTGCACAGCATATTAATACATAACCTTTTTTGGGAAGACTTAAACTGAGATGTGTTCAGGATGTACTTAAGACCATTTTAGGAAATAGATTAGGCTGACAGGAAACTGTGGAAATGTAGAATTTTTAAAAGCTGTTTGAGAGTGTCTCGAGTGCTAATTTGGGAAGGCATTATCAGTTTATTTCAGGAAATACACATTTCAAGCCATCTCAGAGGGCTGTTTGGAGGTGAAGTTATGCCATTAGAGAGAAAATGGTGTGACTAGCATGAGTTTAGGCATCTGGAGAAGAAGATCTTGACGGAATTTCTGTTGCCCAGGAGTCTGTTTGCTTATTCCAAAAATAAAAAGAAATGTGTATACAAGTTTCATAGACATTGCAAATGTCTATTGCAAATGGAAAAATCTTTCCATTGATGGTGGTTATAACAATATATAACTTCTTTGAATCCTTTGACTCATTTGGTATTAAAAGGAACTATACCTGGATACTATTTTGCCAGTAGTGAGTTTAAGAGAACATGGGGCTGGAGAGATAGTGCAGTGGGTAAGGCACATGCAGCTGACCCAGATTTTATCCCAGCAACACATGTGGTTCCCCCCACCCCAACACGGCTAGGAATTGAGCACCACTGGGTGTGTGCCTCCCTGCCCCAAACAAACAAATTATAATACTAGAGGACCCAAGCCTTAGCACAGCTGGAAAGGCACTTGCAACGCACACAACCAACCAGGTTCTATCCCCAGCACCTCCTGTGTCCTCTCAGGCCCTCTAAGTGTAATCTCCAAGCACAAACTTGGAAGTAAGCCCTGAACACAACCAGTCCTAGCCCAAACACCAAATAGAAAGGAAAGAAGAGAACACTATTCAGCATTCTACTGATCACTGTAGAAATGTAAATTTTAGTTAAAAGCATATAATTATCACTTCCACTGCAAGTCATTTGTTATACATTTTAAAATATGTAAGAGAAAATTTTCAAATATTCTCACTGTGACATTTTTTAAATGTAGTTATCTGACTTGTATTAGACCAGAATTCACAGACTTACCTGAGTTGAAGGATATATACCCACAATTCCCACTACCTCTAGTTCATGGAGGTTGTACTTTGCCTTATGGTTTAACCAATTGTAGGAATTTAAAGCTACTTTTTTCTGAAGATAAAAAAAAATGGAAAATATTTATTAATCCTTATTTTCCCTTTTGTTTTTCTAGATTAAAGAGTCCATTGTTGGGGAAATTAGACGGGAAATTGTAAGTGGACTGTTGGCAGCAGTATCTTCAAGTAAAGCATCCACTTCTAAGCCAGATAGTCATTAAATGGAATTAATAGGTAATTCTTCTGAATTTCTTTTTTTAAATTTTTTAAATTTTGTAATTTTTTTATTAGTGAAACACCATGAGGTATAGTTGTAGACTTACAGATTTTTGTGCTTGGGGTTCAGTTATACAATGATTGAGTACCCATCCCTCCACCAGTGCCCATTATCCACCTCCAATGCTCCCGGAATCCCTCCCCCCACCACCACCCCGTTGCACCCTACCCCTGTGGCAGGGCATTCCCTTTTGTTCTCTCTCCTTTTGAGTGCTGTGGTTTGCAAAAGAGGCATTGAGTGGCAATCATGTTTGGTCTATAGTATACTTTCAGCATGCATCTCCCATCCTGGGAAGAACCTCCCAACACCCTTTATTTGGTGCTCCCTTCTCTATCTGAGCTGCCTTTTCCCCTAGTATGTACGGCTGGCCTCCAAGCCATGAAGTGAACCTCCTGGTACTTATCTTGGCTATTCTTGGGTGTTAGTCTACTATTTTGTTGCTTTATGTTTCCCAGATGAATGAAATATTTCTATGTGTGTCCTTCTCTTTCTGACTCATTTTACTTAGCATGATACTTTCCATGTAGTACCACTTGTATGTAAATTTCATGACTTTATCTTTTCTTACAGCTGCATAGTACTCCATTGTGTAGATACACCAAAGTTTCTTTAACCAGTTATCTGTTCTCAGGCACTCAGGTTTTTTCCAGATTTTGGCTATTGTGAATAGTGCAGCAATGAACATAGAGGTGCAGAAGTCATTTCGACTGTGCTTTTTTGCCTGTCTGGAATATATTCCAAGGAGGTATTGCTGTGTCAACTGGGAGCTCAGTTTCCAATTTTTTGAGAATTGTCCATACTGTTTTCCAAAAGGACTGAACCAGTCGGCATTCCCACCAGCAGTGAAGGGGAGTCCCATTCTCGCCACATCCACACCAACACTGGTTGCTTTTGTTCTTTTAAATGTGGGTCAGTCTTTGTTATTTTAATCTACATCTCCCTGATGATTAATGATGTAGAGCATTTTCTCATGTGCCTTTTAGCCATTTGTATTTCTTCGTTGGGAAAGTTTCTGTTCATTTCATCACCCCATTTTTTGATGGGATTAGATGTTTTCTTCTTGTAGTGTTCAACCAGTGCTTTGTATATCCTTGATATCAACCCTTTATCAGATGGGTATTGGGTAAATATCCTTTCCCATTCTGTGGATTGTCTTTGTATTCTGGTTATTGTATCTTTTGAGGTGCAGAAGCTTCTTAATTTAAGATAGTCCCATTTGTTTATCTCTATTTCCACTTGGTTGGTCAGTGGAGTGTCGTCTTTGAAGATACCATTAGCCTCAATATTGTGGAGGGTTTTGCCGACCTTGTCTTCATGTATCTTATGGATTTTGGCCTGATGTTGAGATCTTTAATCCATTTTGATCTGACTTTTGTGCATGGTATTAGGTCGAGGTCTAAGCCAATTTTTTTTTAATGTGGTTGTCCAGTTATGCCAGCACCATTTGTTGAAGAGGCTTTCCTTGTTCCACTTCACATTTCTTGCTCCCTTGTCAAAGATTAGATGTTCATACATTTGGGGTTGTATGTAGGGATATTCCACTCTGTTCCATTGGTCTGTGCTTTGGCTTTGTTCCAGTACCATGCTGTTTTAATTATTACCGCTTTGTAGTAGAGTTTGAGGTTGGGGAGGGTAATGCCTCCCCACGTCTTTTTCCCAAGAATTGCTTTAGCTATTCGTGGCTTTTGTTGTTCCGTATGAATTTCAGGAGTGCTTGATGCATTTCTTTGAAGAATTTTATGTGTGTCCTTATAGTGATCGCTTTGAATCTGTATAATGCTTTTGGGAGTATTGCCATTTTGATGATGTTGATTCTTCCTATTCATGAGCAGGGGATGTTTCCATTTCCTCATGTCCTCTTTTATTTCCTAGAGTAGTGTTTTGTAGTTTTCATTGTACAGATCCTTTATCTCTTTAGTTAGGCTGATTCCGGGGTACTTGATTTTCTGGGGCACAATTGTGAAAGGCATTATTTTTTTTATGTCGCTTTCCTCTCTCACTATTTGCATATAGGAAGGCCATAGATTTTTGGCCGTTTATTTTATAGCCTGAGACTTTACAAGACTATTGTTTATAGGAATTTCTTGGTAGAGGATTTAGAATTCTCGAGATATAGTATCTTATCATCTGTGAATAGTGAGAGCTTAATTTCTTCCTTTTCTATTTGGATACCTTTAATGTCTTTTTCTTGCCTAATCGCTATTGCAAGTACTTTCAGTACTATGTTAAACAGAAGTGGTGATAGTAGGCATCATTGTCTTGTCCCTGATCTTAGAGGAAAGGCCCTTAGTTTTTCCTCATTGAGGATAATGCTTGCCATGGGTCTATTGATATGATCATATGGTTTTTATCTTTACTTTTAGTGATCTGATGGATAATGTTGATTTCCGAATGTTAAACCATCCTTGCATCCCCAGGATGAATCTCACGTGGTTGTGGTGTATAATCTTTTTGATGAGTTGTTGGGTTGTATTTGCTAATATTTTGTTGAGGATCTTTGCATCTGTATTCATCAGGGATATTGGCCTATAGTTTTCTTTTTTGTGGTGTCTTTCTTTGCTTTAGGTAAGGTAAAGGTAAAGGTAAAGGCCCTCCCGTTGATCGTCGATTTGCTCGAGCGGGCCCAGTAACGTCTCCATTGGAGACTTTGTTGTTACTGTGTCTGGCATATCGAATACTCTTGGTAGCTTGCCGGGCTCTCCGAGAGGGGCGGAGGAATCGAACTCGGGTCGGCCATGTTGGCCGCGTGTAAGGCGAATGCCCTACCCGCTGTGCTATCGCTATTAGGGAGATATGTGCCTCAGACAAGCTGTTTGGGAGAGTGGGAGAGTTCCTGTTTTTTTTCAGTTTCCTGGAAAAGCTTGAGGAGAATTGGCAAAAGGTTTTCTTTGAATGTTTGGAAGAATTCACAAGTGAATCCGTCTGGGCCTGGACTTTTGTTTTTGGGAAGACATTTGATTACCGCATCAATTTCCTTGATATAAATGGGTCTACTCAGGTATCCCAAGTCTTCCTGGTTCAATCTTGGGAGATTATAGGAATCCAGGAATTAATCCATTTATTCTAGGTTCTCTTGTTTCGTGGCATACAGACTCTTAAATTAGTCTCTGATGATCTTTTGGATCTCATTGGTTTCTGTTGTAATGTTCCCTTTTTCATTGCGAAAAAAATTAGGGTTTTCTCTCTTTCTTTGTGAATCTTGCTAGTGGTTTATCAATCTTATTTATTTTCTCAAAGAACCAGCTCTTGGTTTCATTGACCTTTTGGATTGTTTCTTTGGTTTCCGTGTCATTAATTTCTGCTCTAAGTTTTATTATTTCTTTATTCGACCAATTTTGGGTTCCTTTTGTTGGTCTTTTTCTAAGATATTGAGCTCTGTGGATAGGTTATCTACGTAGGCCCTTTCTTCTCTCCTTAGGAATGCTTGCAACACTATAAATTTTCCCTTACCACGGCTTTAGCTGCGTTCCATAGGTTCGTGTCTTCATTCTTGTTTGTTTCCAGGTATCTTTTGATTTCATCTTTGACTTCCCTCCTGTCCCACTTATTGTTCAACATTGAGTTGTTTAATTTCCAGGTGTTTGATTTGTTTTTCGATGTCTTTGTATGATTCGCTTCTATCTTCAACGCTTCGTATTCTGAAAAGATTGTTGATACTACTTCTATCTTCCTGACTCTATTGAGGTATTTTTTGTGGCCTAGCACGTGGTCTATTTTGGAGAATGTTCCATGTGCACTGGAGAATAATGTGTATTCTTTCTTTTTGGGGGTGTAAAGCCGTGTATAGGTCTATTAGCCCTCTCTCTTCTAGTTATTCCTTCAAAGCCAATGTTTTTCCTTGTTGAGTTTTGTTCTTGTTGACCTATCCAGAGGTGATAAAGCGATGATGACGTCTCCAACTACTATTGTTTTGCTAGCAATGTCCTCCTTAAAATCTGTTAACAGTTGTTTTAAGTATTTAGCTGATCCCTTATTAGGTGCGTATACATTTAAGAGTGTGATTTCTTCCTGTTGTACATATCCTTTGATGAATAGAAAGTGGCCTTGGCTGTCCCTTCTAATCTTTTTCAACCTGAAACATAAGTTGTGGGATACTAGTATGGCCACCCCAGCTTTTTTGAGGGAGCTGTTTGCTTGCAGGATTGTTTTCCATCCTTTAACTTTGAGTCTGTGCTTGCTCTGATTGTTCAGATGAGTTTCTTATGGACAGCAGAATGTTGGTTTCAGTTTCTGGATCCATTTCGCTACTCTGTGTTTCTTGATTGGTGCATTTTGACCATTGACATTGAGAGAGATTATTGTCATGGGGTTTTGTGCCATCTTTCTGTAGGGGTTGGTTCTGTTTATAACTTTTTTTTCTTCTTCTCTTACAGGAGCCCCTTTAATCCTTCTTTTAGATTTGGTTTTGAGTCTATGAAGTTCCTGAGTTGTTGTTTATTTACAAAATGGTGTATAGTTCCATCAAGTTTGAGAGTTTAGCTGGATAAAGTTTTCTTGGCTAAGCATTCATTTCATTGAGTTTTTTCACTATATCCCATCATTGCCTTCGGGCTTGGAGCTTTCCTCTGATAGATCCGCTGTAAATTTAAGGGATGCTCATTTGTATGTGATTTCTTCTTTGACCTTGCTGCTTGTAGTATTGTGTCTCTGTCCACAGCATCCATCGTTCTGACTATGATATGCCTTGGAGTGTTTTTATTAGGGTCTCTTTTAGCTGACACCTTTCTGGCTCCTTGGATCTGGATGTCTGCATTCTTTAACTCTGGGAACTTTTCAGCAATGATTTCTTGGACTGTAGCTTTTTCATTGGGGTTGCCTCCCTGTCCTTCTGGTACTCCGATGATTCTGATGTTGTTCCTCTTGGCGTCATCCCCTAGGTCTCTGATTCTCCTTAGAGCTATTTTGAGGTCTTTTTCCATTGCTTGTTGTTCCCTTTGTGATTTCTGTTGCTCATCTTCAAGCTCACTGATCCTGTCTTCAGCTCTGTTCATCCTACTGCTAAGGGCACCTACTGAGTTTTTAATTTCATCTACCAAATCCTTTATTTGTGACACTTCTTTTTGTAGCTTTTTTATTTCAGCTTTCATTTCTTACTGTATTTTCTCAAATATCTTTTCTACTGTTTCTTTCATTTCTTCCTTTAGTTTTCTGGATATCTCCCCCATTGATTCTTTGAGTAGATCCTTGAACATCCTCTGCATTTGTCTCGGAATTCTTTATCGGAGAGAGCATATTTCTGAATAACCCCAGTTGAGGATTCAGGACTCTTTTCTTTTTTCTTTTTTTTTTTTTTATGTAGCAGTACTGCTATTTATTCAGCCACGATGATTAGCTGATTGAATTGGGAATGAACTCCACCTTGCTTTTTTTTTCTTTTCATTTTTTGTAATTTTATTTATTGTTTCACCATGAGAGCAGTTACAAATCTTTCGGGTTTAAGTCTCAGTCATACAATGAAACAACCATACCTTCACCAGTGCCCATTCTCCACCCCCCAAAACCCAGTATACCCCCATCCCACACCCCCTCCCTACCTGTGGGGCAGATGATTTCCACATTACTCTCTCTCTCTACTTTGATTACATTCAATATTTTGACACCAGACTCACTATATTATTTGGGATTTTACCCCAACACTTAGATCTTCTGAACAGGCAACAGTAGACAATTTGTTTTCTATTGCTGGTTATGAATAACATGATGTCACGTGGCTGCAGTAGTGGCCACGAGATTTTGAAATTCCTAAATTTTAACAATTAAATATGGAAGGGTTTCTGCCATAACCTGCTGGGTTTCGAGATTTGTTCAAGTCTCTTGGATCATGGCCGTTAAGCAGCTTGATCAGGAGTCAGAAAGCCTTTAGTGGGTGGCAACTCAGAGCCTCGTTGGGATGGGGAGGAAAGGGCTAGCTCCACCCCAATCCCGTGAGGCCCCACCTGTCTCATCAGTGAGGGTCCAAACCTGACTGTTAAATGGCCTCTGGGGGATGCCAGCCACTGAGCCGCCAAGTGGGAGCAGGTGGAGGAATTGCACCCTTTCCCCTCTGGAGTGGCCTGACGACAGTAACCTACTGCAGGGTACGGACGCATTTCTGCCAAAAGCCGCTGGGTTTCGAGATATGTTTCTGAGTCTCTAGGATCATGTCTGTTAAGCAGCTTGATCAGGAGCCAGAGAGGCCGTTTGTGCACTGTGACCCGGAGTCTTGTTGGGACAAAGAGGAAGGGGCCGGCTCTACTCCCATCCCATGAGTCCCCGCGTGTCTCGTCACTGCAAGCCCAAACCTGACTGACCAGTGGCCTCTGGAGGATGGTGTCTACCGGGCTGCCAGGGAGAACAGGCCAAGGCACAAAACCTATTCCCACCTCGGGTGGCCCAGCACTGGTAACCTACTGCAGGGACTGGACGTATTTCTGCCAAAGCCGCTGGGTTTCAAGATTTGTTTCTGAGTCTCTGGGATCCTGGCCATTAAATGGCTTGATCAGGAGCCAGAGAGGCCATTCATGCACTGCAATCCGGGGTATCGTTGGGGTGAGAGGGAAAGGGCTGGCTCCACACCCATCTCATGAGGGCCCGCGCGTCTAGTCACTATGGGCCCAAACCTGACTGTCCAGTGACCTCTGGCAGATGGCGGCCACCTAGCTACCAAGGGGGAGCAGGTGGAGGACAGCACCCTTTCCCCCCTGGGGTGGCCCAGCAACAGTAACCTACTGTGGGATCTGGACGCATTTCAGCCAAAAGCCTTTGGATTTCAAGATTTGTTTTTGAGTCTCTGGGGTCATGGCCATTAAGCAGCTTGTTCTGGAGCCAGTTTGTGGGCAGCAACTAGGGGCCTTGTTGGGATGGGGAGGAAAGGGCCGGCTACAACCCCATCCTGTGAGGCCTCACGTGTCTCCTCACTGTGGGCCCAAACCTGACTGTCCATTGGGGGAGCAGGCCAAGGCACGAAACCTATTCCCACCTGGGGTGGCCCAGCCCCTGCAACCCACTGCAGGGACTGGACACATTTCTGCCAAAAGCCGTTGGGTTTCTAGACGTGAGCCTACGGGATCATGGCCGTCAGCAGTTCGATCAGGAACCATAGAGGACATGCTTCCAATTATATAGCTGAGCTGGAGGTGTTTTTTGTGTGTGTCTCCCACATACCTAACTTTTGGCCGTTGACTTTCTTGCTAAACTTTGCCCCAAGTTTTGGGGTCTGGCCATAGGCACAGCAGCAATTTTGGGGTATCTGGAAGTCTGAAGGCGCCATCAGGCTCCTGATGCACTCGGCTCACAGGTACAGATTGACCTGCTGGTGGCACCATACCCCCATCGGGCTCTTTTCTTCATCTTCTCCTTGTAGTGGAGATTTGTTCTGTTTCTTCATGTTGTTTTGGTTGTGGTAAAACCCTGCAATTCACTAGTACTGTTCCCTCTTATGGTGGGAAAGGATTCTGGATAAGGTTGGTCGATGGTGGTTACCCTTCTCCCTTTCTAGAGTCTGACTTTCTCAGGCATTATTCTTTGGCTTATGACTGGCATCTAATGAAGCTTTGGAGGAGGTACTCTTTAATATTGGGCTTGTACAGCTTCTTTGTGTACTGGTCTTTTGCTAGAATTGGAGTAGACCAGTGGATTATTGTTGTATTGTAGTTGAGGTGGTCAGGATTTTTTCTATAGAATTAGGTGATAAAGGCTGGTATGAATGTCCAGAGTGCTGGGATTGGAAAAATAACTGTGGCAGTGTGAGCGTCTGCCCGCCCCAGAGAAGGCCACGCCCACTTTGAGGAAGCCACCTCCCCCAAAGTGGTGGCCACGCCCCCAGCCAGCCCAGATGCTAGTCCACAGGATGAAACCAGCTGTTCTCAGGGGATCTAGTTAGATGCACGGCTCCAGGAAGGGGTGCTGCCGCTGGGGGGGCGGATACCTGAGCGAGTGAGTAGAAGGAGGCTGAATGGCTCAGCTTTGGGCTCACGTGATGTGCCTCAATTCCCATCCTCCTGCAGACCACGATTTCTGAATTTCTTTGTTAAATGTAAATCAGTTCTTTTTAATGCTTTTCTTTCTCAGTAACAGATACATTTCTGTAGCTATTTTATTTAATTCTAGAACATATTATATGTATTGAAAATCTCATCTACTCCATTTGAAATCTAAGCAAGTCCAATAAAATCCTACCTTCAAAGGGATTATTATGTTCTATCTTTTTTTTAACGTGTATTATAAATAAATGCTGGTAGAGTCGGAGAAATCAAGCCTGAGTCATTTTGAAGGCATTGATTATAATGGTATTTCAGTTATATAATTTATGGACTAAGATTTTAAGAGTTAATCACAGATTCTTACTTTCTTAATGTTCGGTATCCCTTTACAAAGAATTTATTTTAAAAAACAGGTTGATATCCAATCATCATCGTAACTTAAAAGGAGTTATTTTAAATGTTTAAGTCAATTAAACTTTATCTCATAGTGTCATTTCCATTTTATGAAACATAGTAATAATACTTGGTTGGGGAAAAGGGAATAATACTTTTCAATAGTGATATTTGAATGATTTTAATGTGTACTTCTCTTCCGTTTTTAAGGTTGGCCTGGATACTATTAGCTCTGTGATAATGGAAATTACAATGTTATACACTGGTGGAGGTATTTGTGCTTCAGAAGATATTTGCTGCTGAGCTGGGATACTGTATACAGTGTACTATGTTTATTATATGTGTATCTTTTTTAAAATATATAAAAATGGGCATCTTTCTCACTTCTACATTTTCAAAACTGTAGCTATTTGAGAAACCTAATATTTATTTGTATATCTATATTTTCCAATTGATTTCCTCTGTAGAATTAATTTTAAAACTTGAAAACTTCCAAACTTAACAACTTAAATATCTTTTTTTTCATACTAGCTTCTTAAAACACTGACCTCTATGAGGTATTTACTGTGCAATAACTCATACATTTTTGAGAGCCTGAAACAACCAATGATTTTCTTTCCACTGCTGTTAATTAGTGTCACTTCCAAGAAGAAAATTGTTCTGTTGTAAAAATTGCTCTTAATTCTTGAGGAGGTTACTAATAGCAGTAGGATAAAATTATATGATGTTATCTGTAACTACTTCATGTTCTTACACTGTAAGTTACTTTTCTCAAGCTAAATATAATTTTATTATAGCTTATATAGTATTTTTCTTTTGGAAATGTGCCTTGTGTTTAAACACTATGTACTTTTTGCATTTTCCAGATTTCTTTATAATAAGGAAATGTTTCTTCCTTCTCTCTTTCAGACTACATAGTTGACCTTTACCAAAATAGTGGAGCTTGTGACTTGATTAGATAGAACTGCATAAATTGGTTTAGTTTTTACAAAATGGAAGTAATTTAAATTTATTTTATTCATAAGAGATGGTTTTAATCTAGTATCAACAAGTAACATTTTATAGAAAAAGAAGGAAGGTAGTTTCCTATTTGGTTTTATATGTGTTAAATAAATGCATGAAGTAACAAGCAAATGTTTTTGGAATTATTCTTTTAGCATTCATAATTTTCAATTCCTATTAAATTTCTTTGTGTGAAATTTTAATCAAAAGTGACTGAAATGTTAGTAATATTCTTTGAAAGAATATCCAAAAGGTTGTAAATGCTTGAATTATCACACAAGGGCTGATTTCTAAAAGAGTAATTAAAGCAATAAAGTATTTATTTTGCCTAATGTGTTTTTAGTGATTTCTTCTCATGAACTCCATTTTGAAGAACTTGGACTAGATTTGATGAGTAGCAAATTGAGTTCAGTAGAATTGGAACATAAAACCTAAAAGATAAATATTTTCTTTTTATGAGGGGGTTTTTATGATATTTTCAAAAATGGAGTTGAGATTAGACCACTCTGAAGGAAAGCACATCCAGTTCTGTTTCTGATGATTATCATCTGATTCCAAGTAAAACCTTTAAAATATATGTTTAGGGCAGGAGTGACAATACAGTGGGTAGGACTTTCCCTTGCATGCAGCCATCTTGAGTTCAGTCTCTGGCACCTATATGGTGCCCCAGCACGGCCAGGATTAATTCCTGAGCACAGAGCCAGAAATAATTCCTGAGCATTGCCAGTGTGATCCAAAAAGCAATAAAAAAATATATGTTTAAACTTTGATTGACAGACCTTAAAATATTTAATACTCTTTGGTGAAACTGTTTTGTTTGCATATGGCCCCCAAAGAAAAGCAGTTTTGCTAGTTGAATCTAATAACAATTATATACGTAAATTAATGCCTCTTACTGTTCACTTTGAATTGTAGTATATGATGTTAATATGTAAGTAGTTATATGAAGCTTAACTGTAAATATAGTAATGGTAATTGATAGATAATAGTAATACAGCCATGAATATTTTAACTATTTTTCTTTTTTACATCTTTACTACCATGCTAACTGCTATATAGAAATGAATGAGTCTAAGCTAGATGGTGTAGCAAAGGCACCTTTTTTGTTTCTGGTTAAGTTTAGCAGAAGAAAATGAAACCGATAGGGCTGCAAAGATAATACAGTTGAAGTTGGGTAGTTGTCTTGCATTTAGTTGACCAGAATTTGGTCCCCCAGTGTGCAGTATGGTCACCAGAGCCATGCTAGGAGTGATCCTTGAGCTCTGGCATCCCTGGATATGGCCCCCAAACAAAAGCAAAACAGGCAAATATCGCATGAAGCAGGAAATGTGGTTTAAATAAAATCAAACTGGCAAGTAAATGGCATAGGATTAGTAGTCAAGAGTATTAGCTGAGGGGCTGGAGAGAGAGTACAGCAAGTAGGGTGAGTGCCTTGTACAAACACCCTGTGTTCAATCCCTGTCCCCCATATTGTCCCTTGAGCACCAGCACTTATCACTCAATAGCAACAAAAAAAGAGTATTAGCCAGGATTATCCAGAATGGATTTGGTGGAATGTGTGTGGTTAAAGTGATTGGAGCCTCAATTTACCTTGTCAGCTGCTGTGAGCAGTCCCATTGTTTTTGACTTCCCTATCATACATTTTTGACTTCCTGTGAATTCCTGGGCTCTTTCTTATAAGCAGGGAGTTAACAACTGTCCAAAATAAAATTTTACCCCAGATTTTAGGTTCACCTGAAGGCTAAGATAATTGGAAATACCTAAGGCAAAGGACCAGACATGGGTCTGTTAGATCCTGAATCTTCAGTAATAAGTGCCAATTGATAAGAAATGCTAAGAGCCCAATTTTCAATTAAAAGAGTCTACAGGATTGCCACTCAGTGCCTCTTTTGCAAACCACAGCACCCAAAAGGAGAGAGAGAACAAAAGGGAATGCTCTGCCACAGAGGCAGGGTGGGATGGGGGGTGGGAGGGATACTGGGATCAGTGGTGGTGGAGAATGGGTACTGGTGGAGGGATGGGTACTTGATAATTGTATAACTGAAACCCAAACACAAAAATTTGTAAGTCTACAACTGTACCTCATGGCGTTTCACTAATAAAAATTAAAAATCTACAGGAAAACCCTTATCTTTAACATTCCAACTTTCTCTGTAACACAGAGTCCCTGTTTTCTTATAAAAAAAACCCACAAAAAGAACCATAATTTAGTTCTGTACTAAGTTCCTTCCCACTTGGGGAATTCCTTTTCTTTTCTACTTTCCAATAAACTTTACTACTTTCCAACTCAGTGTCAGCATCATTCTTGAAAATATTGAAGAACCTGGGAATCTTGGATGAATACAGACTCACCATTGTCACTCCTGCATTATAAGCTCTAGTTTTGTTTTTATTAAAATCAGTTTGCTAAGGAGACAGGGTGAGCGTTCGGAGGGGACTTTGAGGCATCAGAGGACGATGCTGACCCTGGTGGTGGGAGGTGTTGGAACAGTGTATGCCTGAAATCATATACACCTGCCAGGTAAATCATGGTGCCCGAAAGAAGTTCTCATGGGACCCATCTAGAGCAACATGAAGATGATAGCCTAGGGTGCCATTGGGTGTGGGGTTGGAACTGGTTCTCTTAAAGTATATTTCCAAGTGCGGAGTTTAGTAAAAAAAATTTTTTTTTCTGAAAATGGACAGTAGTCCAGATAAGTTTGGGGACCTCTGACCTAGAGCAATGATTTGCAACCTTTCATACTTTTAGAAACCAAAATACCTATGATTTTGTAGAGACAAATATTCTGATTGAGTAGGTTTAAATATCTGTTTATGAAGTTCTTGGATGAAATTGATGCTGCTATTGTACCATCACAGATGTTCAGATTAGTAGCAAGAATTTAGATTAGCAAGTTATTTTACTAAAACTTTCAAGGAGAGAGCTTAATTGAAAAAAGGCTTTGTATCTTCAGGATATTTTAGAGGTCCCGTTCTGGAGAATTTTCTTTGCAAACCAAAGCTTAAAACTGAGAAGGGAAACGCAAAGCATTTGGGAGGGAAGCCCTAGAGGAATCATTTAAGCCCTTATGGAAATGTTAAATGATCAAGCCTGTGTGCCTGTTACAAGAATAGCAGCAAGGGGCCATTTTACCTTTTAGTTTTTCCCCATTGAGAATGATACTTGCTGTGGGCTTGTAGTAGATGGCTTTGACATAGCTGGAAGCCTGCTTCATGAGTAAAGGAGAGAAGGCAGCTGGAATAGAGAAGAGATCACTAAGAAAATGATGGCTTGAGGAACGGGTTGAGATGGGAGATGTGTGCTGAAAGTAGATAAAGGAGCAAACATGATAACCTCTCAGTGTCCGTATTGCAAACCATAATGCCCAAAAGTAGAGAGATTATGGGGAATATTGTCTGCCATGGAGGCAGAGGGAGGGTGGGAAAGGGGGGTAAGGAGGTATACCGGGGATATTCGTGGTGGGGATTATCCACTGGTGGAGGGACGGGTGTTTGATCATTGTGTGATTGTAACCCAAACATGAAAGCTTGTAGCTACCCCAAGGTGATTCAATAAAATTTAAAATTAAAAAAAGGGAGTGGAAGATTGTAAACTGAAAGAACCAGGCTAGTGGAAAACAGTCTAAAAGCACATAGCACACAGTCGTTGGTTATTAGCAGAGATCAATAACATAGTACCATAGGGATGTCTAGCATACTTCTTAGAATATAAAGTTTGGTTAATGTTAGCAAGAAATAATAATAATGAGAATAATGATAGAAAAGATACAAATACAAATATGTAGTAATGTACTTAAATATCAAGGTAAAATACTGTTACAGATTATCTGAATCAAATATGAATGAAAATATACTTGCTGCATTCTATGTTAAGAAAGTCCTTACCTAAACGGTGTCATTTGTCCTATCACGCTTCAATTTAGGAAAGTTCAATCTTAGATATATCTGTTGTGATTTTAAGTTCTCTACTATTTCTAAGAATATATTGGTACCACTTGATCAATTGACATCCTGTTACTCATCGATTTGCTCGAGCGGGTGCCAGTAACGTCTCCATTCGTCCCTGTCATGAACTAGTGTAGCCCAATGGTATCTGCTTGTTCTAGGAACACGAAGAGCCACAAACTGATGGTTCAGGTTTTTTTTTTAATTTTTATTAGTGAAACACCATGAGGTGCAGTTGTAGACTTACAAATTTTTGTGCTTGGGTTTCGATTATGCAATGACCAAATACCCATCCCTCCACCAGTGCCCATTTTCCACCACCATGGATCCCAGTATCCCTTCCACCCCCATCCCGCCCATCCCACCCTGCCTCTGTGGCAGGGTATTCCCTTTTGTTCTCTCTCTCCTTTTGGTTGTTGTGGTCTGCAAAAGAGGCATTGAGTGGCAATCCGGTTCGGTCCATAGTCTACTTTCAACATGAATCTCCCATCCTGGGAGGATCCTCCAAACACCCTTTATTTGGTGCTCCCTTCTCTATCTGAGCTGTTTTCCAAAAGGGCTGAACCGGTTGGCATTCCCACTAGCAGTGAAGGAGGATCCCTTTCTCGCCACATCCGCACCAGCATCGGTTGCTTTTGTTCTTTTGGATGTGTGCCAGTGTCAGAAGTGTGAGATGGTATCTCATTGTGGTTTTGATCTGCATCTCCCTGATGGTTAATGATGTAGAGCATTTTCCATGTCCCTTTTTGCTATTCGGATTTCTTCTTTGAGAAAATTTCTGTTCATTTCATTGCCCCATTTTTTTTTTTATGGGATTGGATGTTTTCTTCTTGTGGAGTTCAACCAGTACATCTCTGTTTTCACTTGCTCGGCCAGTGGCGTGACATCTTTGAAGATACCATTAGCTTCAATGTCATGGAGGGTTTTGCCAACTTTGTCTTCAATGTACCTTATGAATTCCGGTCTGATGTTGAGGTTTTTAATCCATTTTGATCTAACTTTTGTACATGGTCTTAGGCAGAGTTCTGAGCCCATTTTTTGCATGTAGCCATCAAGTTTTGCCAGCACAATTTGTTAACGAGACTTTCCTTACTCCACTTCACATTTCTTGCTCCTTTATCAAAGATTAGATGATCATATGATTGAGGGGAGATGTCAGTATATTCAACCCTGTTCCATTGGTCTGCAGCTCTGCCTTTGTTCCAGTACCATGCTGTTTTAATTATTACTGCTTTGTAGTAGAGTTTGAAGTTCGGGAGGTTGATTCCTCCCATTTTCTTTTTCCCAAGAATTGCTTTAGCTATTCGTGGGGGCTTATTGTTCCACATGAATTTCAGGATTGTTTGCTCCATTTCTTTGAAGAACATCATGGGTATCCTTATAGGGATTG